CTCAAAAAAATAAAGGGAACACTTAAACAACACAATGTAACTCCAAGTCAATCACACTTCTGTGAAATCAAACTGTCCACTTAGGTAGCAACACTGATTGACAATCAATTTCACATGCTGTTGTGCAAATGAAATAGACAACAGGTGGAAAGCATAGGGAGTTAGCAAGACATCCCCAGTAAGGTTCTGCAGGTGGTAACCACAGACCACTTCTCAGTTCCTATGCTTTCTGGCTGATGGTTTAGTTACTTTTGAATGCTGGTGGTGCTTTCACTCTAGTGGTAGCATGAGATGGACTCTACAACCCACACAAGTGTCTCAGGTAGTGCAGCTCATCCAGGATGGCACATCAATGCGAGCTGTGGCAAGAAGGTTTGCTGTGTCTGTCAGCGTAGTGTCCAGAGCATGGAGGCGCTACCAGGAGACAGGCCAGTACATCAGGAGACATGGAGGAGGCCGTAGGAGGGCAACAACCCAGCATCAGGACCGCTACCTCCGCCTTTGTGCAAGGAGGGACAGGAGGAGCACTGCCAGAGCCCTGCAAAATGACCTCCAGTAGGCCACAAATGTGCATGTGGCTGCTCAAATGGTCAGAAACAGACTCCATGAGGGTAATATGAGGGCCCAATGTCCACAGGTGGGAGTTGTGCTTACAGCCCAACACCATGCAGGACGTTTGGCATTTGCCAGAGAACACTAAGATTGGCAAATTCGCCACTGGCGCCCTGTACTCTTCACAGATGAAAGCAGGTTCACACTGAGCACGTGTGACAGACGTGACAGGGTCTGGAGACACCATGGAGAACGTTCTGCTGCCTGCAACATCCTCCAGCATGTCCGGTTTGGCAGTGGGTCAGTAATGGTGTGGGGTAGCATTTCTTTAGGGGGCCGCACAGCCCTCCATGTGCTCGCCAGGGGTAGCCTGACTGCCATTAGGTACTGAGATGAGATCCTCAGACCCCTTGTGAGACCATATGCTGGTGCAGTTGGCCCTGGGTTCTTCCTAATGCAAGACAATGCTAGACCTCATTGGCTGGAGTGTGTCAGCAGTTCCTGCAAGACGAAGGCATTGATGCTATGGACTGGCCCGCCCATTCCCCAGACCTGAATCCAATTGAGCACATCTGGGACATCATGTCTCGCTCCATCCACCAATGCCACATTGCACTACAGACTGTCCAGGAGTTGGAGGATGCTTTAGTCCAGGTGTGGGAGGAGATCCCTCAGGAGACCATCCGCCACCTCATCAGGAGCATGCCCAGGCATTATAGGGAGGTCATGCAGGCACATGGAGGCCACACACACTACTGAGCCTCATTTTGACTTGCTTTAAAGACATTACATCACAGTTGGATCAGCCTGTAGTGTTTTTTTCCACTTTAATTTTGAGTGTAACTCTAAATCCAGACCTCCATGGGTTGCTAAATTTGATTTCCATTGATAATTTTTGTGTGATTTTGTTGTCAGCACATTAAACTATGTAATGAACAAAGTATTTAATAATAATATTTCATTCATTCAGATCTAGGATGTCTTATTTTTGTGTTCCCTTTATTTTTTTGAGCAGTGTATTTCAGAAATATACTGTATTAAGTCACTCTGAATTTTATTTTGTATTTTATTTTCTTGTGGTATGCAAGCAAGCAGAAGCATAAAGGAGTATAAAACTAACAGAGCAATATAAAAACCTTAATATAGCATGTTCTACTACAATTGCATTTGGAAAACTATTAACATCTTAGATCAAGCCAAATCTAAAAGATGCTAGAGAATTCCCCAAAGTTTAGCATTCAGACAAATCAACTATTAATAGCCATACAGAGATAAGCCACATTTATGCACTATTCACATCACAGGGGGTGGTTGTTTGATGGCTCAAAGGGTAAAGACTGGGTTTCGAGACCCGAGTGCCATGCAACGGGGTAAGCTCCTGTTACCCACCCCAGCTCCTGCTCATTTAGCAGTTCAAAAGCATACAAAGGTGGGTAGATAAATAGGTACCACTTTGGTGGGAAGATAATAGTGTTTTGTGCACCTTTGTTTTATAGTCATGCTAGCCAGATGGCCAGGGAAATGTCTTTGAGAACACTGGTTCCTTCAGTTAAGAAATGGGGATGAGCACAGCCTCCAAAATCGGACGTAACTGGACAGGGGAAATCTTTACCTTCACACACTATTCAAAAGAATCTATAAAAATAATCTAGGAAGGAAACAAAAAGACTAGTACACATCTCCTCCAGCAGTTAACATTCAGATAAGCAGAGATCAGCACCAGCCAAGCAATCAAACAGAAAACAAAAATATAAGAACCACTATGGAGGAAACTACATCCCTACCAAAACTGGCAAGACAGGTTAATTCATATAAATAGGCAGCAAACTCCACAGTCATTGCAATAGGTAAGAAAGGAGAAAATTTTTTTGAACAAGAGAACCTCAATATTATAGCTTGATTCTATGACTCACAGACCTTAATTATAAATTAACTAGTCTTGTCTCTTTTCCAACCAAACAGCAAAATTGTAGACATGTGGTTAGTGACCACTTTGCTTAGTAGCAGATTTGCCAGTCCCAATTAGGGTTATTAAGTGAAGACTACCAGTTTGTTAAAACAGGGTTTCATTACATATTTTCATGTGGGTATTTTGATGCATATCTACAATATGATTTATTTTTCTGATTTAAAAAATGTATACCACTCTGTCAGATATGCACTTAATCTTTTACTCCACTGCTTCCATTCTTTCTCTCATTCACACACTCTCTCATAGTTTTCTTAATTCAAATGTGATGAAGAATTAGAAACCACTGATAAGAGACCAACAGGGCTAATAAAAAACTGGTCCTTGCACTGGATTTACCAATTTTACACAGCCTTGATGAATGGGGCAGTGGCTGTTTGAGATGTAAATAAAGTGCAAGTGGCCCTCTTGGATTATATTATTCTCCTAAAGAAAATACACTAAAAGTTCTAGGCAAGTTGCTGTAGTATTCTGTAGGTTAACTTATATCATCTGTTATAGTATTAAATTATCTGAAGCTTTATGAGTTGCAATAAACATGGTAATTGATACCTCTAAAGACTGAGAAACCAAATCTTTTAAGTTGGTATGGTTATTGCCAGAGGAAAAATGAACAGACTTGTTATTAATCCTTACAAAATTGAATGGCTACATTTTTTGGCTTTTGGGTGCAATTCAAGGTAGTAGATACCACCTTTGAAGCCCTTAAAGGTATAGGGCCTGGCTATATGAGGAATCACTTGATTTCTGTCGTCTCTGCCCAGTAGCTTAGCAAGGTAGTTGCTCTTCATGACCTATCAGTTAAATGACACAAACTGTCATTTTGTAGAATTCTGAATGTGCACCAACACTATTACAGTTCCTGCCCTATGAAATGACAGCCCTCTCCCCCAGAGATCTGTGTGCCTCCCCCTCCCCATTTATGTTGTTCAGGGAAACTATTCAAAACTTTGTTCTCCCAGATGTTGGAGACAAAATGATTGTACAGTCCCCTTTTATTCCTTTGCCCATTTGTTTTGTTTTGTTTTTTGTTTTGGATACTTTGTTCTTCCAGTCTGTTGTATCTTTTATATGTTTTTTGGTATATATTGGTTCTTAGTTGCAGGCTCTTCAGAGTCATTTGGGAATCAGATGGCCAGATAAAAAGATAAATATATAATGTTCAATTGTCAGTTTTCTGCTTAGGTGGTTCATAGGATTTGCATCATAGAGAAATCTCAATCTTGACTTCTGGCCAGTCTCTGTCCCAGACCTGATCTGTGGAGAATGTTTTTTTTGTTTATCTGCTTTCTGGTTCAAGTACATACATTGGCTTAAATGTGCTTGCTCAATTTATGTGTAATTTAGCAGCTGTAGTACACAGACTTAGGAAACAATGCCACATTCCATTTTAACATAGTTAATTTTGCTGCCCATGATATTTTAATTAGAAAATAATCAATCTTGTGCATTAATATATTGTTGTGTTATTCTGAACTACACCAGCTTCTCATATTGTATTATTTTGAAATAATTTATAAGAAAATATCTTTTTATATATATATGCAGGTAATATATGCTTTGAACACAAAAAATGATGAACATGAAGCTGCTATGCAAGCTCTCAAGGATGCTCATGAAGAAGAAATTCAACAAATTCTTGCAGAAACCAGAGAAAAGATTTTGCAATATAAGAGTAAAGTTTCTGAAGAAATGGATCTAAAAAGAAAAATCCAGGTTTTAGAAGAGTCTCTAGAAGATCACAAAAAGATGAAGCATCAAGCTTTAACTGAATTTGAGGCTTATAAGGACAGAGTTGAGGATATGCAACTCTGTGCAGAAGCTCAGCATGTCCAACGTGTTGTAACTATGTCACGTGAAGTGGAAGAAATTAGAAAGAAATTTGAGGAAAGATTACGAAGTTTTATACAACTGCAGTTACAGTTTGAGAAGGATAAACGTTCAGCTCTCGAAGAGCTGAAAGCTGCACATAGACTTGAGATCCAAGACCTTATGAAGACACATCAAAATCAAAATGTTACTTTAAGCAAAGGTCAGGAAAAATTGGAAGAATTGCACAGGCAGGATGTGGAACAGTTGAATGTTAAAATAGAAGAGCTAAGAATAGAAAGAAAAAAGCTTATTGAGGACTATGAAGGTAAACTCAGCAAAGCTCAATCTTTCTATGAACATGAACTTGATACTATGAAAAGATCACAATTGTTTACAGCTGAAAACCTGAAATCTTGCAAAGAAAAGGAAGTAGAGCTAAGAAAGGAATTTCAGAGTCAAGAATCAGTTCTACGAAAAAATCTGGGGAAGCTTAAAACTGAGTTGCAAATGGCTCAGGATGAAGCAGGGGCTCTTCGAGAAAAATGCCAGAAGCTTCAAGTGGCTCTAAGTACCTCAGAAAACAGTGCACAGGTGAGATAATTATTGTTATGCTGTTTCTTTAACAATAAATAAATACATTTGTTAGATTGATGTTGATGAAGTTTTGTGTTACTCAGTTGGGTGTAAAATCAGATTAGTTTACCTGCAATAGCTTAACAGACCAACTAATTTCTTTCCATTTTATTTAGAGTTGTGACAAAAGTTTGCTTTTATATATGAAACTTCAGTAGCTTTTCTTCTAATAGTGAAGGCCAAAGGCAACTGAAATAGGGTTCTGCAAAATTAATGGTTTAGATTTTCAGAGCTCATTGCAGAAGCAATTTTGGTTCTAATATCCTTTCCCTTCCCTGCAGGAGCCAATAAACATTCTCTTCTGTTTTATAACATCTACTGAGCTAAAGGAGTGGCTTAAGAGGCCACAGTAGAAGAAAGCAAGTAGGGAAAGTCTTGTTTCTCTAATCTAAGTGAAAGAGTAGATTTTCCTTCATTACATCTGGAACTTTTATGTAATTATTATTGTTTATTGCATGTACTGTACATTCCACCTTTTCCTTTTTGTGTGAAAGTCTTCTTACTTGGGCATCTTTTCTGACGGAAGTTGAAATGTTAGTGTATGTATATGCACATGTGTACAGATCAAAATATTTTTATTTGTTTAAAATTAAGGTTTTATTGTCCATACCTTTTCCTAATTTTTTTCGGAATAAATATTTTTATGGAAATAATAATAGCACATTGAAGACTGGAACTGAAATACAATGCTATAAATGTCACTTGATTAAAAATGCTTACCAAATAAAAACACTAAATACTGAATTGGATAAAAGTTATAATATGAATGTGTTGTGTCTATGGAATGGCTGTGAATTTTCTAAAGGTGTAAAGTTTGCATCTGTACCTGACAATTAGAAGAAGCCTGTTTATAGTTCACTAATACAAAGGAAAACAGCAAGAATAAATGAAAAGCCATAATGGGGTTATTTTATTAAGGCTGACTGGTATGGTGCTTGGAAGAATTATGATTGACAGTTACAATATGTGACAATGAATAAAAGATGTGAAGTACACTGTATAGGTTATGTAGAGTAATGTAACATGTAGGCAATGTATGTAGGCTATATTTTTGCTCTATAGAAAGATACTAAGAAATGCATGAATATGAGAAAGTGTTGTACATTTGTTGATTTGAAGAAAGCATATGATGCAGTGAATAGGCTTGAACTGTGGAAATTTTACATGAATAAAGAATCAACCATGGATTGCTGAATGTACTAAAAATATCAGGCATAAAAATAATACTTTGCAAATGGTTCAGTACTAGCCAACAAAGTAAGACAAGGATGTGTGGTGCCTTTTGTTTATTTAATGGATTTGTGGATAAATATATAATGAATTTTTGTGGTGAGATGTGTTAGCTGCGTAAATGTGTATTTGTATTTTGTTATGCAGATTGTTGAAATCTAAAAAGCTAGATAGATTTTTAATGCAATAAATAGCATGCATTTAAAAATCAGTATATAAAAGACCAGGGATATTATATTTAACAAGACAAAGAAGCTATAGTGAATTATATATAAATGATAAAATATATCAAGTAGATAAATATATCTAATTTGATAGAATATTTAATAAAAATTGGGAAATTTTACATGCAAATGCTAGGTGAAACAATGGGTAGTATTTTTTCTCTTCTGAAAAGAATAGATATTAGTGTTGAAAGAAGTGAAAATGACTGCATGTAATAGTATGCAAACACCCACGTTATTATATAGTAAAAAGAGATAGGTGTGTCCGGAAAAGTATAAAAATAATTTGGATGCAGTAAAAATAGACATTGAATTGCCAAAAGTCAGTCCTGCTGTGTTTGAATATGGGTCTCCCTAGTACCAAGCACAATCCCACAATCACACTGGCTAATGTGGGTAGAGTGACTGGATTAGAAATAGAAGAAAATTGAAAAAGTCACGACTGGATGGAGTTGATGAAATTCTGAAAGAAAGGTAAGAAGTTTAAAAAACAAAACCCACTATTAGTGTAAAATCAAGGTAAAAGCAAGAATAGTTTGCAAGGAAAGAAAGTTATGGAGTAGTATAATAAAGGCATATACTAGTTTTAACTATATTTGCTCTCCTTTTTTCTTATTTCATACCTTCAATTTCTTTGGTTTATACTATGTTTATATTGCATACCTTGAAAAGGAATAACATATGTATGTATCTACAAATGGCAGCAAAGGGGAGAAGTAATTTGTTCTATCTGTATTAACTATTTTGTATGAATAAGTTTGAATATCACTTTTTATTCTTTTCCTATCCCTAAATTTAAAATTTCAGTTTTTTAGAGATTCATGTTGGTTTTTTTACATTACTTGCTGCAACTTCTTAAAGCTACAGCCTTTTCCCCCAAGAATCATATGGCTGTTTTCTGTAGCTGCAGGATAATCCTGGAAAATGATGCATTTCATTTAAGAGTTGCAGACAGATCTAAATGAGGACCAGGCATATTCCAAGATACCTTTTTGCCTTCAAATCCAAAGGCCTATGCTGCCCTATTTATAGAGTTATATCACTAAATGCATTTCTATCTCCTGCATTTCAATTACTCATATTTCTTCATAACATTTTAAGAATCTAAATTTTTTTAATTTACTGAATAATTTTAGCCTGTCATTCTCTGGCAGCCAACATGCTTACAGAATAAAATCTCCTATATATTGCCATGAGATATAGTAGAATGTAGTCCGGAGTCACAGGAGGGAAGAGCTCTTTCCCAGAGCGCAAAGAGACAGCAAAGTTTGGAATGTCTGTAGGCAGGAAGAAAGCAAGGTCAGACCCTAGTATAATTCACAGAATGTATTTTGGTTATTGCAGATAGTTGCTTTCATCTGGAATTTGTTTGTAGGCAAGCAACAATAAAAAAACTACTTAAAGTAACTCCATGTTCTTGGTTATTTGGACTTGACACCTGGGGGAAATGAAGGCTATAAAGAAATAAATAGCTCTTTGAAATTCCAACACATACAAGTTCCCTATCCATAATTTACCCATAACCGAAGTCCTTTGAGTGGTCTCTATGCCTGTTTGCATTGTTATTACTACTATATAGAATATAGTAGTAATTATTACTACTATATAGAATTACTACTATATAGAATTACTACTATATAGCATAAAAGTAGTGCTTAATTTATGACCAGATTTGGAATTGGAAATTCTGTCATAATTTGGTATAATCATAGAGTCATCATGTGATCAGGCCTGAATTTATCACAATTATTAAGCGAATCAAAACCACTATAGTAATTAATGAATCACTTGGTTGTTAAGTGAATCACAGTAGGAGAAGAGCAAGCAGAGCTAGGGGATGGAGTTAAATGAATCATCATCCAAGAGTCATTACGTTCCCACAAATGTCTAAGTCCAAGCCCTCTTGAATTTGTTGATTGTTATCTGGTGCCAATTTAGTGTTGAATTTTGTTGGCGAGATTCTTGCATATAGCCTTGAGCAATAAGGGCTGAATTGCAATTTAATGCATGATTCTGATTCTTTGTGTCATATAGTCAGTAAGTAAATCCAGCTTCTGCAATTGACTTTGCTTGTTGAAGCAGGCTGGGAAGGTTGCAAATTGTGATCACATGACAGCAAGACTTGTAACTATCATAAGTGCTAGATCAAGGGGGTCAAACTAATGGCCTGTGGGCTGGATGCGTCACGTGCTGGCCATATACACATCAGTCCACGAATGGGAAAACCATCACAAAATGTCACATGATGGCAACATGCCACAAGTTTGACACCTGTGTGCTAGATGATTGCCAAGTGCCTGAATTGTGATCACATGACCACAGGGGTAGTGCAATGGTCATAACTTCTAGGACAAGTTGTAGGTCACTTGTTCCAAGACCGTTGTATTTTTGAACTATCATTAAATGAATGGTCATAGTCAAGTACTGCCTATATAGTTTATTTTAAAATAAGGAGTTCTGATAGCACATTGGTTAGAATGCAGTATTGCAGGTAAACGCTGCCCACAACCTAGAGTTTGAACCTCAAGCCTTCCGTCCTTCTAAGGTTGGTAAAATGAGGACTCAGATTGTTGGAGGCAATATGCTGACTTTGTAAACCACCTAGAAAGTTTGTAAAGCACTATGAGGTAGCATATAAGTCTTAGTGCTATTGCTATTAGTCTACATATTTCATTTGCTTTTCTTTCTACAATATTGAGCAATTTTACGTATTTTGTACTTACAAATTTGGGAAAGATTATTGTGCTAAATGTTTTTTTTGCCCAAAGGTATTTTCTCTCTATCTTCTTGCATTTTAAGCACTTATCAGTTTTCTCTTGTCATTTAACACAGCCTGAAGAAATAATTAAAACAATATATAATTCTGATTTGTAATCAGTAACATATGTATTTATTGGTTTCAATCTTGCTTCTAAGCAGCATTTTAAATAGTCATGGGTTTTTAAATAAATTTTTATTTTTAATGGAAAATTAATACCTATCCTAATTAAGATGTATTTCAAATTTTAAATTAGCTTTTCTTAGGACAAAATGCTAACATATCTACATTATTGGAAAATTTAGTATAACTTGTCAAAATATCTCTAGCATTTTTTTCAGTTTATCATTACTTAGTAACTATTTTATGTGAGGCCTTTTTGACATTTCACAAAGACGAATTCTGCTTTTAGGAATTTGCTTAATGAATCTATTTGATTTATCCAACAGCTTTGGGAATTTTGGTATTATCTAATCTGTTTATAATTTACTCTTTCATTGTATTTCTTTTATAATATTATAAAATTATAATATTTTATAATATTACAATTATGAAGTATAATCCAATTTTTATTCTGTCAGTAGAAGAATAAAATTGCTGTATTTTCAGCAATTTATCCTCAGCAATTTCAGCAGTTTATTACACTTTATTTATCTGCTTTGCTTTGGATAAGATTTTGCGTCTGAGATTGCAATGGGGCTACACGGGAAGGTGGAAAACTACTGTATTTTTTCCCTTCTTTTGCATATGAAATTAGTTTGCAACTTGAGGGACATTTATCATATTCCACACAATATCTTATTTTAAATGGTCTTTGGAGGGCTTTTTATGACTAAAATACAGCCGAGATTTGAAGAAAATATTCCTCTAAAAGGCAATATCAGAAAAATGAAACAAATGCAGGTGTTTTTTTTCTATTTGAATAACATTTAAATAAAATCTTGCATAATCTCTAACGTGAAACTTAGCAACTGCTTTAGAATTAACATAACATTTCATGTATTTTCCAATTTGATGCAGAATAGTGCTATTAAATGTTTTACTTTTAATCATAGTTGTTCGGTCCAATTTACTATATAGTATATATGCACACATTTTTCACTAATTAATCACAGGTAATTATGTACTGTTGTGAATAATGTAAGTCATGCACATTTATCAGAATATCTTTGTTATCAAAAGTGAATATGTCAGACTTCTATGCAGAAGTCATACATCACTTATGGAAATTTCAGAACTGACAAAATGAACGCAAATATACATAAGTAAGATAGTTACAGAACCTTTGCTCTGTATACCTATACTGGTAAATTTCATTCACATAATCTCAATTATAATAGATTTACAATACATTTTTAATAATTTTCTCTATTTTCTTAGGCTCTTCAAAAACAACTAGATGATGTCAAAGAGGAGGAAATGACATTGTTAAGCAAACACAAAGAAGTTGAAATTGAGTTAGCAGCTACAAGAGAGCGCTTACAACAGCAAGCCACAGATCTAGTGCTAAAAGCTAGTATGTGTGTATGTTTCTATTACTTTATATATAATCCATTTTAAGTTATTATTGTAAGAATGTTTGTTCCTAGGTAATATTTGATGCATAAGACAAATGTTAACTTTTTCATATAAAAACATTTTTTATTTTTATTAAAAATGATTTTTCTCAATCTGTTTCCATTATTTCGTCAAAATATCATATCCAGCACAATCTGTAGGGTTTGTTATTCATGAGGCTTACAACTAGCATATATGCAGATGATTGCAGTCTAATGACCTAAACCTTACTTAGCCAATGTCCTCCCTACACAAATGTTGGTAATATTGATAATATTGATCTATAATTCCAATATAACTGGAAAAACACTAACTTGGGGAAGCATGGTCTGACAGTTAAATCTCATGAATTGTAAGCACATGTTTTTCATGTTTTTCTAGAAATACGTTATAGTTTAAATTTTACAAGATACTTATAAAATGTATTATTAAGAACTCAAATTCAGAATATAGTTAATTCGTATGTAATATGTAAAAATGAATATATAAAGAGTCCATTTGAACAAAATATCTCAGTTAAAATAATTATGACTCAGTATCTATCATCTGACTATTACAATGGCCTAGTTCTGTTTTTAAAACTGTTTGGATTTCAGATGCCTGTTATTTTGCATGTGAAATGATACACCATGTTTCATTCCAATTATTATCCCACATCTGACTTTTTATGTGAAAAACTATAAGGTTCATTGTCAATTTTGCTGTAGTCACACGCTGTAGCGTTTTGTTCTTTATTACCTCTGTGCATCATTCAGCTATGGTAATATTGTTGGTGTTGGATAATGCTCTCAACTGTTCCAGCTAACAAAGCTAGATCTGGCAGATTGCAGGTATTATTAACATGCAGAGGACCACTGGTTTTCAATCTTTGTCCTAAGTGATTGAGTAAAGGATCTTTTTTTTTCAAAATATGTTAAATTGGAAGTTTCTCTATTTTATTTGTTTTGACAGTTGAAGATATTAGAAATAGACACTGTATTCCACCCCAATTGAAGAGAAACAAGGGGAATTCAGATGATGCATAATGTCTGCAAAATGTCCATAGATCTGTCTTTCAGTATCTCACCACTGTTTCCTAGGAACTACTACTTAAAATAGCTGCCTCATTACACTTAAATTCTGAAAGAATTTAGAGACATTTTTTCTAAAAATGAAACTAAAATTCTTGATGCCTTAATGTATTTCTAATAATATTTTAGGCATAGACATTGTGTGGTAATGTCTATGTTTTTAAGCATGTTTTTAAGTGTGGTATATAACAAACCAGAAAAGTATGTAATTTTGATAGCACCTTGGTGTTTTGTTTTGTTTTGGTTTTTTAGAGCAGAATTTGGTTTGTGTTGTGTGGAAAACTTAATAAATAAGTAGTATGTTACAAAGATAAGCATTTTTGTCTCCTATACAGCTAACTCTATTTTTTTTAGTGAATAATAGCAAAATGTACATTTTTCACAACTTTAAATCATGGAAGATTTATGTGATAACTTCATAGAAATACTTTTTGGAGAGGGAGGCAGGTGAAGTCCTGAAATATTTTTCCTTCTACATTTATCTGATTGCAATTTTAGATCAGATAAAATGATATTGTAACTAGAATTAATTCTTTTTAAAAGCATATGTTTTTATGAGCAGCTTTACTCACTAATTCTCTTATTATGAAACAAGTAGCGTCAGAGTAGGAGATCAGGAGTTAAGTCATGAAAATATATACAGAAAGGAGCAGAGTCACCTTACTTCAGATTTCAGCCTGCTTTTGTTGTACTTCTGGTCAATGAACCAAGTCAAACATTGCATGATATCGTAGTTGGGCATTCCAGAATATCTCCTGTTTCAAATTTGTCCCCAAATGAATGTGATTAAGCCAAAATCTATATAACCAATATTCACTGAGTAAAATAATGCCTGGATCCATACAATACCTAGAGTTATCATCTATGTTTACAAATTTCAGTGCTTATACTCTTACAACCCAGTAAGTTAAAATCACCTGCTTTATAGTTTGATACATTATGTGAATCAAGCTGGTGCGAGAAGCCATTCAAGTACAAATATTAATATTCCAGAAATACTTAATGCTTCATTTTACAGGTCATGTTGGAATGCTTCAAGCTACCCAAATGACCCAGGAAGTTACAATATCTGATTTGGAATCAGAAAAATCTAGATTAAAGGAGAAATTGTCTCAGTTGGAAGAGGAAAGAAATGTGTTACACAGTAAAACACAAAGTCTGGATGAAAGACAAAGGCAGCAACTTCTTACACTGGAGAAGGTAAATATTCATGGGTGGGTTACAAATGAAAATTGAAATTATATAAATATGAAAACTATTTGTTCTCTCTTTTTGAATGGTCTCCGTGCTTTTTTTTAACCCTTAATATTCAAAAGTGTTACTTCATTTGCATAAAAGCTGCATAACTTGAAAGTACACCATTTTGATCTTGGTACATAAGAATTGGTACCTTGAAATCTGTTTGTATGATCTATTATTCAATTAAAGCTATTTCATTATTGTAAATAATAGTTGTACAAAGTGTTCATTAGCAGTTTCTTTTTCTCAATATCTGTTATACAACTATTATTGCATAGCTGATTAATCTACAAGCTGTTAGAAATATTTTGGGAATTAACAGTTAATGAGGACAAGAGTGCTAGCTGTGGTGTAATACAGTTTCGTATCTAGTTTTGCTATATTAAGTGAACTTCTGTGTTCAGGTCAACTGAAGGAGAGAATCTGAAGGCTATGATATAGCTTAGATATTGCACGTATAGGACAAAACCACAATGACAACTTAAGTGTAATGAACTTAAGACTATATAGTTTTCAAAATACATTTATCTGATTTTGATTCTAAGTTGTTTAAATTAAAGAGAGTAAATGAAGCAAGGGAAACACAAAAAGAATATTATGAAAAGGAGTTAATGAAATTGCAAGTCAAACTAGAAGGAGAGACTATGCAGATAAAAGAAGCTCATTCCAAGGCTTTGGAGGAGTTGGCATGGAAACATAATACAGCTCTTGAAGCAGCACATAACAATGCTAACAAGGAAAAAAAGAAACTGCAAATGGTAAGAGAAATATAAACTCTTATGATTGTTCCTGTTTTACTATAACAACATATGTTGAGTTGTTTTTAATTGTAATAGCAGATTTTAAGTTCCACATGTTTTGCAGCAGGAAAATTTCCAGCTTCACAGATTATTTTAATCAGAAGGAATAGACTGGTATCATTTAAATAAACTAGGCAACTCTTTTTTTATTGCTGACATTTAAAAAGATTAAATTTCTACAATTTCCACAATATTTTGCATTTCTCCTATACATGGATGATTATGGATGACTAGAGTTTCATGTGAGACTATGGACTAGGATTGTTTATGAATTCCAGAAGGACTGATTGGTAGCAATTAATTAGATTCTTGATCATTAGTTTGTCATTTGGTCTGCCCATCAAATTTAAAAGTAAAATAATTACAGATAAATTACAGCTTATTCTATTTATCCAATAATATATTATTTAGATATATTAATCAGATACAATAAAATGTAGCACTGAAACAAAAAAAATATGCCAAACAATTTAACAGTTAACATTAAAAGAAATCAATTTAAAACAAGTCAGCCTTTATGATTAAAATAACTGGACTGAGATTATAGCATCACAAATGACAAGAAATTCTAGAGCTCAGGAATTACTATCGAAAGGTCCTATCTCTTGCATCCATCTTCTCTGTCTAGCTAGTTAATTTCTTTCAACAACAAAAAAATGTCATACAGATCCAAATCTCCATGAATGTATATCCTAGGTTTACTTCCCTTATGACTAATCCTAATATTGTACTCATACTGTAGAATAATCTAGAAGAAATCAGGTCAAATCATCCAAGATACTGATGGTTATTTTGAATTTCCTTCTATAGAACTTATTTTCTTTCTTTCTTTAGGAGGGACACTCATTTCCTTTGGCAGAGATAAACTGCTTTTATTTCTGAAATATTTCCTTTTCTGTCTTCTATACCTCTATAAAATTGCTACAGCAGTTGTCCCAATTTTAATTATATAAAGGAAACAAGGCATCAGAAAAATCCATCAGCATGATAATGGTCCTCCTGCTAAACATATTAACTGCCATTTATTCCTGCTCTCTGCTTCATGTTTGTTATCCAAAGAGAAAATAGGTAATTCATTAATTGAACACTTAACTCATAACAAAGATCACTGCAGAAATGTTAGAAGTCTAAATAAGCTATCTAGTAGATCTATCTATATACTACTTCATATTAAAACATTATAAAGTAAAAAAAAAGGGATTTGGCAGCTTCTTTTATTAAGCTGCAGTTACAGTTGCCTGATTGTTCAACTCATTTGACTGTAGAATTAGGTCAAATGTGCCAGTTGTATAATTGCTGAACTCAATGAACATGGCAGTAGTTACCCATATTTTTGATAAACCTTGATTTTATTTAATTATTTAAATGTTTTATATGGCCATCCTTCTTATGTACCATAACCCATAGAAAGAGCAATAAAGGCATAAAGAGACAATGAAACCAGCATCAAAATTCCTGGTAGTCCATAAACAAGCTCTTTTCCACGTGAGTAGCCCTTGACTGATGACCATTCACTTAATAGTGATTCAAAGTTATGGTGGCCTCAGAAAAAAGTGTCTTATGACCCATACTTGTGCTAATGACTGTCATATCCTCCATGGTCACATGATTTCAGTTGGGATGCTTGGCAAACAGCTCACATTGACAGCTGGTGGTAGTGTTCTGTGGTCATATTAATGTGGTTTATGATCTTTTGCCAATTTCCAACAAAAAAAACTTCTATAGAGAAGTTGTGCTTTCTAGTCCACCAGATGACCACCATTTGGGGGAAGAAATATAGAGCTCACCTACTCTACTTGATTTGGTAGAAAAGGCAGGTACCGACAGGGAGAGAGATAGTCCTTGCAAATAGCCTGGTCTTGTGCCATTCAGAGCCTTAAAGGTGAGAACCAATACTTTGAATTTCATCCAGAAAGAAACTAGAAGCCAGAGCACTTCATGCAGCAGAGGTATAATGTGGTCTTGATTGATGAATTATCTGTTCCAATAAAAATCTGAATCTAGGCTTTAAGGTTACCTAGAGAGGACTGCCTTAGATCCATTTGCTCTCTGAAACTCATTTCTGGATTATATGGGAGACTGAGCAGGAAAACAATATAAATCATTAATGTTTTTAAAGAATATAATCAATAAACAGTAGAAGACAACATTTTTTCTGCCTTGTTTTGTTTTTTAAGGAGTTGGAGCAGCAATTTGAGAAAGAGAAACAACGTTTTGAAGATGAGAAGAATCTGCTTCGACAGCAGTTGGAAAGCCTAAGGGAAGAACTGACAACCAAATTGACTTCCTCCAATCAGGAGGTAAGAATCAACACAATCATATTACCTAAATGCTGTGTGCATTCAACTATGTTTAATTATTAATGTTTTTTCTTAATTGGTATTTTAGACTTGGATTCATTCTGTTCTGCTTCATTTTGGCTAAAAAGAATTCTCTCTATCATATTGTATATTTTATGAACTATACATGTGAAAGAAATGTGTTCTTTTAGTGTTAGAATTTTTAACTAAAAAAACTAATAAGCTACCCATTCGATACTATTTTACATATGGAATTCAATAACATGATATTAATCACTGAATTGATTTCTGAGTGTCATACATATATGCACATGCATTTAGATTACAGATAATTTCTGCTGTCAAATGTGATCAACATTATATGCTTTCTGACTATGCACTATTATCATTGGACTTCCTTTGTGGGGATTATTCCCTCATTTCTTCCATCAGATTTTGATATAACTTTTTACTATTTTTTTCTATCAGAATATATGAAATAATAGGTTATTTATTATCAGCATCATGTAACATATACATAATGTTGTATGTGTTTAGTTTTTCTAATTGGATAAAGAAAACAACTGAATGTTAAACATATATTATTTCTTCATTTGTTTTACGTATTTTAAGAACAATTTTTTAGTTTATTTTGGGTTCAGTATATTAAAATGATATATAAATGAAGATTTAAAACATGAGATAATTTCTGAGAATCTGAATATACATTCATCAAATACGAATCTGATTTCTTTTTTTACTAAGCAATCATTTTCCTTCTGTATTACAGGTGGAGCATCTACAGGATGTCTTAAAAAGAAGTGAGCAGGGCCTTAGTACTGCAGAAGGGCACGTTTCTAGCCTCCAGGAAACCCAAGAAATATTACAAAAAGAATTAGAACTAACCCAGGCAAAACTGAGAGAAACCGCTGACTCCTTATATAATGTGGAGGTAAATGTAAAATTCTATCATATGTATCCACTCCATTAGGCAAACTCGGGTTGTCATATGACCTTCCATGCCATATATGGAAAAATATCTGTAATTTCTTGAATATGACAATGGTTTTCAGGGTAACCCTTTTAAACAACCCTTTTAAACAGGGATGTTTAAAAGAGTGTTAAGACAGATAACTGAAGATTTCTATTAAAATCTTGCTTGCTTGCTAATACAGTTATTTCCAACCTCAGGATTTACAATAGATATACCATTGCACCAGCTATCAGGAGCAAATGAAAGTGTTGCTTTCATGTTCTGCTTGTGGTTTTGCTAAGATATTGATCAGCTAGGCTTTATTTAACAAATATTATGTCTTTCATCCTTAGGTCAGATAGTGGTTGAGCTGTGAGTAAAGGTCTGTCTTAATATACACTGCTCAAAAAAATAAAGGGAACACTTAAACAACACAATGTAACTCCAAGCCAATCACGCTTCTGTGAAATCAAACTGTCCATTTAGGTAGCAACACTGATTGACAATTAATTTCACATGCTTTTGTGCAAATGGAATAGACAACAGGTGGAAAGCATAGGCAGTTAACAAGACATCCCCAATAAAGGAGTGGTTCTGCAGGTGGTGACCACAGACCACTTCTCAGTTCCTATGCTTTCTGGCTGATGGTTTAGTTACTTTTGAATGCTGGCGGTGCTTTCACTCTAGTGGTAGCATGAGACGGAGTCTACAACCCACACAAGTGTCTCAGGTAGTGCAGCTCATCCAGGATGGCACATCAATGCGAGCTGTGGCAAGAAGGTTTGCTGTGTCTGTCAGCGTAGTGTCCAGAGCATGGAGGCGCTACCAGCATCAGGAGACATGGAGGAGGCCGTAGGAGGGCAACAACCCAGCATCAGGACTGCTACCTCCACCTTTGTACAAGGAGGGACAGGAGGAGCATTGCCAGAGCCCTGCAAAATGACCTCCAGCAGGCCACAAATGTGCATGTGGCTGCTCAAACGGTCAGAAACAGATTCCATGAGGGTGGTATGAGGGCCCGACATCCACAGGTGGGGGTTGTGCTTACAGCCCAACACTGTGCAGGATGTTTGGCATTTGCCAGAGAACACCAAGGTTGGCAAATTCGCCACTGGCGCCCTGTGCTCTTCACAGATGAAAGTAGGTTCACACTGAACACATGTGGCAGACATGACAGGGTCTGGAGACGCCATGGAGAACGTTCTGCTGCCTGCAACATCCTCCAGCATGACCGGTTTGGCAGTGGGTCAGTAATGGTGTGGGATAGCATTTCTTTAGGGGGCCACACAGCCCTCCATGTGCTCGCCAGAGGTAGCCTGACTGCCATTAGGTACCGAGATGAGATCCTCAGACCCCTTGTGAGACCATGTGCTGGTGCAGTTGGCCCTGGGTTCTTCCTAATGCACGACAGTGCTAGACCTCGTGTGGCTGGAGTGTGTCAGCAGTTCCTGCAAGAGGAAGACATTGATGCCATGGACTGGCCCACCCGTTCCCCAGACCTGAATCCAATTGAGCACATCTGGGACATCATGTCTCGCTCCATCCACCAACGCCACGTTGCACCACAGACTGTCCAGGAGTTGGAGGATGCTTTTGTCCAGGTGTGGGAGGAGATCTCTCAGGAGACCATCCGCCACCTCATCAGGAGCATGCCCAGGCATTGTAGGGAGGTCATACAGGCACTTGGAGGTCACACACACTACTGAGCCTCATTTTGACTTCTTTTAAGGACATTACATCACAGTTGTATCAACCTGTAGTGTTTTTTTCCACTTTAATTTTGAGTGTAACTCCAAATCCAGACCTCCACGGGTTGCTAAATTTGATTTCCATTGATAATTTTTGTGTGATTTTGTTGTCAGCACATTCAACTATGTAATGAACAAAGTATTTAATAAGAATATTTCATTCATTCAGATCTAGGATATCTTATTTTTGTGTTCCCTTTATTTTTTTTGAGCAGTGTCCATACCAATAATTTAAAAAACTGTTCTTACAGTTATAGACAGGATTCTGTGATCTCCCCTCTAATATTTACATGAAGCCAATGGGTGAGTTCACCCGTGACCATGGGGTGGGGGATATCATCAGTACACTGATTATACCCAACAATACATCTCTGTCCTTGGCAACTTAAGTGAGATGGTGAATATCTTGGTGTCCAGAGTTTGTGAAGAACTGAATGGAGCATGGTAGGCTTCGACTGAACCATCAGCAAGACTGAATGATTTTGGGTTTGGGGGTCCTACTTGTTCTAAGGCTATGCCATTTTGGCATTTGGGATGGGATGCCATCTAGGATTTGGGTAGTGGAGACATTCCTAGAAGATTGATATTCTTCCTTTTTCTGTGGGATTTATATATTTATTTTTTTCTATAATGGTCTCATTTTAACAATTACATTTTATATTTTATTTATATGCTGTATTCTTTAATTGTTGTATGCTACCTAGAGTTGCTTTGTATGAAATGGGCAGCCACATTAAACATTTCCATGTTAATGTAAAAATACGAATAATTTTGCATTTTGAAATGTTGTTTCTTAGCATAATTTTGTTATAAATGTTTTTATTTTAAGGGGGAGTTAAATCAGGAGAGACAGCACCATGAAGCAATGATTATAACCATGAGGGAAGAGGAAAAATTAAAACTCGATAGAATGGCTCGTGACCTGGAAATAAAATGGACAGAAAATCTCCGGCAAGTATTATTTCCATTTATTTTCTCTTTTAGAGAAATGTGTATCTTAATAAAAAGGAGCCAATTCGGTGCAATAGTTAAGGCATCTGGCTAAATACCAGGAGACCCTGAGTTCTAGTCCTGCCGTAGGCATGAAGCCTGTTGAATGACTTTGGGTCATTCCCTTTCTCTTAACGCAAAGGTAGTGGCCAACCACTTTAGAAAATCTTGTGAAAAAACTGATTCAAAGGAACAAACATATAGCTTAATAATAATAATGTTTTGACAAAGACAGTGCATTTCAACAAGATTTCTACAATGTTTTAAATAGTAGAATAAGTTTTAGCTTTGACTCTTTTTTTTAGGCAGGAATGTACAAAACTTAGAGAGGAATTGAGACTTCAGCATGAAGAAGATAAAAAGTCAGCAATGACACAACTCTTGCAACTAAAGGAGAGAGAGAAAAATGCCGCCAGAGAGAGCTGGCAGAAAAAAGTTGAAGATCTTTTGGATCAGGTAACCAGAATAATTAGTTGATAAATTAATTTCACTTTTAGATTATTGAGATTTTTGTTGCAAAATTAATCCTCTTAAAATTTGATAAGAATAGTTGTTAAATTTGATATAAAAATGTGTGGATTTCTTTGACATTGTATGTAGCATATGACTCAATGTTTTTAATTATTAAAAATAGGAATGTGCCATACAACCAGCATACTAAAATGTTGCCTTTAAAGGTTATGACATCATTCAGTTCTCCCAATGTATAATGTTACTTTTAAAAAAACAGGCAGGAACCATTCCAAATTTTTATAAAAATTCTGTACTAAATAGGTTAATAGGAGACAAATAAATCAATATATTCAGTTACAGAGTTGCAAAAATCTCAGTACTTGGGCAGCAAGGAATTTATCCTTGACTAATAACCACAATTGAGCCCAAAATTAGCATTGCTAAGCAAGACATTTATTATCTTGGTTTTGCCCTATTTTATGATATTTCTTGTCACAGTGTTTAAGTGAATCCCTGTAGTTGTTAACAACATGGTTGTTAATACATTTGGCATCCCCATTTACTTTGCTGATCAAAAGGTCACAAAAGATAATCACATGACCCTGGGACACTGCAACTGTCATAAATAAATGCCAGTTACCAAACATCTGAATTTTGATCACGTGACCATAGGGATGCTGCAACAGTCATAAGTATGACAAATTTTTGTGTCACTTGCTTTGAAGTTGAAGTTTTAATAGTCACTAAATGAATGGTTGTAAGTTAAGCACTACCTGTATAATTTTTAGATGATGCACACATTTCTTCTGCTAGCAGATACTGGAGGAAGAAGCATTTATCTTTTTTTATTCTGTCCCGTGTTTTAAGAATTTCAATTTGAAACCTTTTGTGTTTCTTTTTCTGAAATAAGTGAGTTAGCTACATCCATTACTAGTATTATGAATCACAGCTAGATACCGAAAACAATAAAAGTAGGTAGCTGAACACAAATTAAAACCCTAAGAAATATACATATACACTAAGATTAAATAGGATGGGATGTACATTTCTGTGTTCAATTTACACATTTTAGAAATTAAGTACAGTAATAGCAAAATATAATTTTAATTCTGAAATCATTTAGAACAATCCTGACAATCCCAGTAATTCCTAGGATTGTTCTACTGAATTCAGTGGAAATCCTTCCAACAATACAAAAGTAAGATTATATTGCTTGATCATTGCGTAATAGCAAGAATTCATGCTATCATCACTAAGAAAAAATAACATTGTTGTAGACTATATAATGTCCAGTAAAAAGAGCAGCCATACTGAATAAAGTTTGAACTTGGTCTAAAGTATGTATCTGGAAATACAACAGTCTAGTTAACGAAGGAGTTTTGGTTTCTTATTAATTATGGTATCATAAATGATTTCATTTTCAGTAAAGGAAACAGGTTTTGCCATTTAGCAAAGATCTCATAGTTTTTCTGGATTAGAATTTTTTTGTGGCTGAAATTTTCTGAGTTAATTTTATTATTAACTAATTACTCCTATGAAATTGATTCAATAGCTACAAATAATAGTTTGATTAGTACATAATTTAAATAATGAATTGATCTCTTTGTAAATTGTGATTTTGATAAAACATTAATAATTTAGGAAATATATCATAGATCAGTAAGCATTTTAAGGTTCTTAATGATTTGACTGAAAGAACAAATGACTGGGAATGAATCATGTATCCAACAGTGAAATTATCCATCATTCAATTTTAACAAGTATGGTTCTCATACCCACGTGGCATTTAATGTATATAGTGATGTACCACTTATACATGCTGACAGTACATCTTTAGCTTGTTAATAAATGGCAGTATATAATGAATTTCAAATATAATTTTGCTATGGAGTAGATATTATAAAGAAAAGTTCATATTTAAAGAAGGAAAGAAAGTATTTATGAATTAAGTTGGGATTGGTAATAGTAAATTATGATGCAAAATTATTTTAGAAGTAAAAAAATGTATATGTTCAGTATTGAAAAATATAGCTGAACGTTTTTTTTCCAAATTTCTAAACAGATGTGCTAACAAATATATTTGCCAGTTTTTCAGGAATTTATTTATTAAATTTTATGTAGTATTTATTAAATTTTATGCACTATTTGGGCTAAAAAATAAAATAGTGTCATTTAGAAACTGCATATAATTCTTATATTTCCAATTTTTATATTTGAAAAGGATTCAAAACATTTTTAATAAGTAGATTTTTAGAAGTGTTCAGAAGATTTATAAAGCCATAGCAAAACTGTTCTATATTAGTTTTTCTCAACATATTTCCTTTATCATATCAATATGAATGTTCTGTCTTTTACTGCCCCTTTTTTATTCCATCTTCTTAGTTATTTCTGAATTATTTCTTTTATTCTTGTGATCTTTCCTTCATAGCGGCACTATCTTGGTGAAGCTTTGCATAAATCTATCAGCAATGTAAGTGAGTTGCACTTACAGTTTGTACGCAAAGGCATGCCTGTACTTTTCAGCTTGCATACTGGGCAGTGTTGCTTTAAAATCTAACCCTTTGAAATAAAATAATTAAAATATTTATAGAAATAAATTATATATTTTCATAAAAAGCTTACCTGCCTTCATTATGTCTGTATTTATATTTGCTATCAGATATCAGTCATTCTATATACTGAAAAGAAGCTTGCAGCTAATATATTTGCATATTACATAGCCATTTTATAAAGCATGATGTAATGCAACTCAGTTATGGATGAACTATTATAAATCTTGGACTTCTGATATTCATTTATTATAGCAAATATTTTATGGGCAATTTCCTTTAATATGCCACTTTTTAGTAATGCAAAATATCTCTTGAGCTACAGTATCATAGATTTGCTGGTATTTTTTCCATTTGGTACAATCCTATAGATGTTTCCTCAGAAATAAGAAACTTGAGATCAGTGATCAGGAGGTATAAGATTGCAATTTCCATGGCTGTAATTTTTGAATTATAAAGATTATAATTATGGCTTGCCCTTTGAGATAATGACTTTATAGTTTAAAAGTAGCATACACATCAAAATTTATTCTGGTAGCCTTTCAATTTTACACAAGGTCATATGAATGTTCAATTCCAGTAAATTTTTTCAAAAATGTTACATGTATGTGTGAAATTAGTGGTGCTTGGGTTGCAGGTTGGGAAAAAAGAAAATAGCATTTCTTAATTATATTATAATATATTATGTTAATGTTTATATCTGTGACTAGAGTGGGACAAAAAAGATTGTAGCTGAAACTTTGGAAAAATTGTCCCAACTTCTAAGTGATTTTTAAAATAATCTGATCTTGAAATGGAAATCGGAATTGGCCCATTTGAAAGCCATAGCATTTTCAGCATACGAAACCAGAACAAACATTCCAGTAGCATGGCAAGATATTACAGTTTTGTAATTTTGGCCACTAAATAAATTTACACTTCTGTTTTTGGCTTAAAAATTAAAAGTGTTAAACATGTAAGAAAAACATTAAAATATGCATTTCTAACCCAAGTCAGTACAGGTAGTCCTTGACTTATGACCACCGTTCACTCCAAAGTTTCTGTTGCTGAGACAGTTGTTAAATGAATTCCTACAGTTATTAAGTTAGTGACATGGTTGTTAAGTGAATCTGACTTCCCCAGTGACTTTCCCTGTCAGAAGGTAGCAAAAGGTGATCACATGATCCTGGGACATTGCAACTCATAAATATGAGTAAGTTGCCAAGCATATAAATTTTGATCACATGACCATGGGGATGCATCAGTGGTTGTAAGTGTGAAAAACAGTCATAGCTCACTTTTTTCAGTGCTGTTGTAACTTTGAATGGTCACTAAACGGACTGTTGTAAGTCAAGTACTACCTGTATTCAAAATATCAACACAATTAACCCAGTTAAATTAATTTGATAGACTGCATGTTTCATATCTATTTTTGTCAGTCTCTCTTATTTGTTTAATTTGCTTGACCTGATTACCTCCCCAAAACTGGCCTTGAGAAATTTATTAGGATGTGATGTATAAACTACAGAAAGATTAGAGTTAAAGATACTGTCAAACATTTGGCATCTAAGCTTATGAGAGTAAAGCATTTTTCACAGATATAACAGTACCACTGGGAATATTTCTGGGCAAACATCAATATTTCATGTAGCTTCACAAAATTTAGTTATCCTTGTTCCTGTTCATTTTTCAAAAGGGAATAATAAATGTATAAAATTGTTTCCTTGGTTAAATGGTTTATTTCATGCATGTTTGCATTCCACATTAAATATATCCTTACATTTAAAGGGGCTGAATGTGAATTTGTTTTTTTTTGGGGGGGTGGGGGTCTGTTTACACCAAAACATTAATTAAGTATAAGGTATGTTGCCTGTTACAGTAAAACTGTATGTAGTTTTCATTATTAATACATTGCTACTTGGCATTTTATAAAGAACACGATTCATGCGTAATCCTGATTAGTGCTGTGGAATGACCAAGTGAATATGGATTGTTGGCAAAGGAAAAATAATAATGGGGCATTTGTGTGATTAGACTTCTATTAAAGCCTTATTCAGTTCTAAGCTGGGTAGAGTAGAACACAGCCAATGTAGCAAGGATTTACTCCATTGGTAAACATTGTTAAACAATGTGAAGAATTTTAGTATTCCGTTTTGTTTGGAAGTTCAGCATTCAAATAGTGGGAAAAGTGCATCAGATTAGGCATACTTTTATTATAGCTGTCAGTACCACCATTAAAAAGCCACACCTTTTCTATGATAGCTATGCATCCCAAGGCATTTTTTGGATTTTAGGAGGCAGTTTCCCAGAAAAATACATTTTCATTTAACAAGCATCAACGAGACAGTAATGGGTGTAAGACCATATTTTCCATGATTACTTCCGTTGGATTAATTTGGAATCTTATAACTATAAAGCTTGATGCAATTTAAATGAAACATTATAATTAATAATCTTTTCTTTAGAATTAGGTTTTATTTCATCGAACAAATCGAGACACTCTTCTATCAACTCTAAAATTATTAATCTTAAACACTACTGTAGTCAGCAATAAAGATTTCTCAGCTCATTTATATTCTCCATTGCTGATACAAGGCAATATCATTTTCCCGCTCTGATTCATTTACTAAAAGGATATTAACTTTAAAATTGCCAGAGGTTCCATTTCCTCAAAGGCCTCCATAGCAGAAATCTAGGATTTAGGAGAAATCCTCTTGTTTTAAAAACTCATTGTTTCCATTTTTGTTCAACAGTGAGATTTACAGAAGGATGCATAGAAGAGGGAATAAAAGACTGATGAAAAATACCCCTTTACCCTTCAGGCTTTTTGACTTTGGAAAATTTTCATGATATATAGATTTTGTTCCTCTTCCTTGCTTCAAGAACGCTATCTAAGTTCTGCCATGCAGTTTTCTTATGGTGATGGACTAACAATATAAACTGTATAGCTTTCTATAAATCAGGGCTGTCAAACTCATGGCCTGTGGGCCAGATGTGTCACGCGCTGGCCATGCCCATGCCCAGTTTAGTGAAGGGAAAAGTCCCAATATGTCACATGATGCCACTGTGATGAGTTTGGCACCCCTGCTCTAAATGCTACAGCAGTTAGTTACATAATATACCTTGTAGCTATTTGACAGGCTTTTTTTTTAAAAAAAAAATCAAGAATCCAGAGGATCCATTAGCTCAAAATTGTTTCCAGCTGTAGAAGCTGGGTGATCTTCTGTCTGAAATGCTCTAATGTAGTGATTCTCAATATGGGCCTGCCATATTTTTAGGGAGTCATAGTTAAATTTCTGAGGGTGTCGTCCAACCAGGCATATATTTGTCAATTTGTCATAATCCATATATCTCATTCTCTGTGCTAATTTCAGCAATATAGATATTGAAAATTACTGCAGTTTACATAAATATCTTAACAGTGGTAATTGTGTGTGTGTATGTGTGTATCAGAGAGATAAATGAAGTTCAGAAGTAAGCCACGAGCAAGAAAAGGTTGAAAACCGCTACTGTAGTGGATCCTATAATTCTAAGATTTTATAAAAGAAAATTGTATGGTGGAAGAAAACTCAAACATTTATTCAACATCGAACAGAAGGTACTGAATTTGTTGCAAATGCTTTTCCACTGCACAAATAGGTCAAGGGGGTAATTTGCATTCCACATTACCCTAAGCAATGTGCCTCTGTTGTGTTGAAGCAGCTGTGTTCTCAGGAAGATAGTCTGTGCGTGTGTATGTCCGGTGTTTGGGGACTGCTGATGAAGTAAAGCAGCTCTGCATGCACAGAAAAGTGAAGACAAAGCCCTTGGAGTACCCACACCCTCCTGAAAATACTGCTACCTGAACATTTCAATGATGAATTCTTTTTCACGCTATTGCATTTGACCAAAGTGCCTTCAGAAATTTTGCACAGGTGTAATACATTTAGCATTTATGTTATCTTGTAAATGAAAGCATAATAGAAATCTTAAATCTGAATTAACTTGTATATTAATTCTTTCATCTATATGCAGGGTATCTGTACCTTCACTGAATTATTTGTGAGTTCATCTGTGTTAAATAATACTCTTGTAACTATTTGGCATTATGATCTTCATAATAAATATTTATAGACCGATAAAGTATAATGTTTGCACTAATCATATGAATTAAATTTTATCTGATTGTCCTACAGTTAAGCTATTTGAAAGCTGATATACTATGAATGAAACTAATGATAGTACCTGTGGTCTTTACTAGTAATTACTTTATGTGAACTTATTCAAAGAGTGGTGACAACACCAATATATTATAGTAATATTGGAACATTATACACTATTTTAATGTATATTCAGGTTTTGATAGGAAGACTGTCAATTGAATATAAAAGTAGTATAGCTCTTCCTTCCAATCTCAACTGCAGTGTTATTATTTTCTCCTAATCTCAATCTCTAACATGAACTGTCCATCCTGAAAATAAGATGTAAGATCTGTACATTACTCTGCATGGCTAGCACATCACTCAATTTAAAACTGAGTTTTAAGAAATCATCTAGAAAGGTGTGGGTTAAGCCACAAAAACATAATATGGAAATAAAGAATTACAAATTAGGGGGATTATATATTAGCTTTCCTTCCAGAGTTTAAGGCATTGTACATAGTACTCCTACTACTTTACTGCAATATGCTTGTGAGGTGGGTTTGTCTGTCAGATAATACCAGATATGCAGTCGTGAACTGAGCAACATGTCTAGCAATATCAAGCTAATTGTCCTTAGTCCATGGTTGAATGCACTAAGCATTATAATATGTTAAATATATTATTCTTTTTCAGTGCCCTAAACAATTCTAGAGGTAATATAAAAATCTGATATTTAATTTTAAAAATTATTAGTAATTTACTCCAGAATCTAAACATAAGATTGTAAATCCAATTGAGTTCATTAGGATTCCTGCCTTAAGTAGATGTATTGAAATTTTTTCATTTATTATTTTTATGAAGCAATCTTTTTGTACTTTTAAGAAGACTTTCTGTAACTCTGACTAACAAGCTTTAGATATTAAAATAAACTGTCTGAGTGCTTTGAACTTGACTTTTAGATATCTGAGAATGTCACAGACAGTTGGGAGAGGCATTTTATAGAATGCAAAGTAGCAATCTTTGTAGTAGTCCTCCTATCTTTAGTATCATAAATGTTTGTTTCATGTTATAATGTATACCTGAACTTTTCCTAAAAGAAATGTGCTACTTAACAACATATGCCAGAAGATAAGGATGCAATGTTTAAAGATACAAAATTTCTGTGAACATTGTATATTGCCTTTCATATCTCAAACTACAACTTGGATTGTAGTTGTTCAGTGGACTAGTAACATGTTTATAGATTTCTGTACTTTTCCAAAATTAATCACAGTTTTAAAAAAACTTTGCATAAATTTAATTTGAATTTCATTCTGATATTCCTGTGTCATTTTCCTTTTCTGTGAATTAGATCACTCTGCTAAAGCAAAACCTAGAAATGCAGCTTTCACAATCTCAGAACACAATGCAACAATTGCACGCACAGTTTAGTCAAGAGCGGCAGAGACTGACCCAAGAAATTGAAGAACTGGAGGAAGAGCATCAGCAGAGACATAAGTCCATGAAAGAAGCACATATTCTTGCCTTTCAGACCATGGAAGAAACAAAAGAACAAGAGCAAAAGGTATGTTCAATGGGGGTTGGCAATATCACACATTTTCAAATAAAGTCCACAAAAAAAGAAACATTAACATTATTTTAATTAAATACTTAATTTTTATTTAGAACATCCAAGAGACCCTCACCTATGTTTGTCTACAGTTGTCTTGGAACCAAACTACTTTGCTAAGTAGTATCCAGAGTACAGTGATTTACTGCATAAGATAGAGAAGCTACAGTACAGTAATGTACTATACAAATTTTAAAGATAATTTTATATGTTTAATTGTAAGAATAATCTCATACTGATTTACTTTCTATAGGAACTCGAGGAACACTTGCAACAGAAATATTTAGAAGAACTTCAGGCACTGAAAGATGCACATAGACAAGCTATGGATGTTTTCAAAATAGAAATGGAACAGGAAGTGCAGACTCTTCGCTTTGAATTGGAAGACGAAGGGAAAGCAATGCTTGGTACTGTACTGTACTTTCATGTCACAATTTAAAATGTAAGCTTTGATTTAGAGGGCAGATATAATTTGCTGCCTGATACACAACAATGTAGGAATTTGGCTTTAGTTTTGCTAACAATACAGAAATGGTTTGCCATTGTCTTCTCTTGGGCTGTTTTTCTCACTTTCAAGCTAGTTTATAGCCCTAGGGTTTCTTTATGTTTTTCAATGTAAAACCTTCTTGAAATCGACCAGCCTTTCCTAAGTCATATGCAACTTTTTATGTTTGGAGGACATACATACAGAGTACAGAATACAGAATAAGAGAATTGAAAAGGATCTTGGAGGTTTTTTAGTCCAATCTTCTGATCAAGTAGGAGATCCTATACCATTCTGGATAATTGGCTGTCCAATCTCTTCTTTAAAATCTCCAATGATAAGAGTACCCACAACTTCTGGAGTCAAGCTGTTCCACTGGTCAATTGTTCTCACTTATCAGGAAATATGTCCTTAGTTTTAGGTAGGATCTCTCTTTGAAATCATGTAGTTTTTTAAGATGAAAAATAGCAGCATTCCTTAGGGTAATCTTTGAAAGGTAATTAATACCTCACAGTTTATAATATAAACGTGATACTATATCTCAGTCTTGTTATTTATTATCTCTCAAGTTAATGACTCTGCTATAAGATTTTTCATAAAAGATTCTGTTGGCTAAATAAAGATTTTCCATAGGTGTTTTAGATGTGTTCTGTTTTCATATTCTGGGCTATATTCCTGTGTCTCCTTTTTCATTATCTTTGATAATAGTAGTTTCTTTAGTGTTATCTTTATATCAGTCGTCTTTTCACTATCAACATCAGTGCCTCATTTCATCAGAAATAGAGCAAAATCAGACCATAAAAATTAGGGAGAAGTATCCACATAATTGGAGAAACTCAAGGTTTGCAAAAATATAATGCAGTATTTAAAATTTCAGAGAAACAAATCACTAAAAGAAGTGCAGTGGTGATTGTTCAAAGCCATCAAATTGAATATTAGAAAAGAAAAGAGAATACTGGCTTAAAAGGAAGATAATGAAGTTGCTTCCTTGAGTCTTTCATGGGTTATATAATATACTTTCTTTGTATGATTCGCTTACCTGGTTGCTATTATTATCTCTCTGAGCTTGGTTGTTTTCTTGAAGACATTTCATTATCCAAACTAGATAACATCATCAGGACTAGCACTGATTATGTTACCTAGTTTGGGTAATGAAATGTCTACAAGAAAACCAAGGTCAGAGAGCACAAAGGATCTCTCATTTCAATCCTGATCTACAAATATTCTCCTTTATTAGCTATAGTTATTGTCATCATTATCTTCTTTGGATTATTTTTGTTTCTCTTTTTGGAATATGTAACTAATGTCCTTTTAAAATATATGCTTGCTGCTTTGAATATGCATGGTACAAAATATTGAGTTGTAAGTCTTTTAAATATACATACATATAATATATGCATGTTATGTAACTATCCTGGAAAATAATATGACTCCCTGAAAAAGGAGCACTCTTTCCAGAAATAGAAATTACATTTCCAGTCTAATGATATCAAGATAATAAGGATAAAGCAGAAATTTTAAAAATGTCATCCTTTATTTTAGTATTTTGCCTTTATGGGTTTCCTACCAAGTTTATGAGTGCTCTACACAATTATTTTATAGAAAGTTCATATACTTGGTTATGAATAATTTTACTTCACATTTTGAAATGACTTTCTTGCTTGAGTAACACCAAATATTTTGAAGACTAAAAATAAATTTAAAACTGTGGGTTGCAAACACTATAAATATGGAAGACACAGTGTGGTACTTTAATGAATGTCAGGGTAATACACTTATTATAGAAGATTTTCCCATGAATAGCTGGGAACTAGTAAGGAAAACAATCAGCAAATTGTGCCATTTGAAAAAAAACATTAATATATCACGCATAAACTATATGATAACAATATGTGTACCTATCAAAATGTCAAATATTATTTGTGAAGTATTTTTTAAAATACTTTATTTGTATTTCTCAGCATCTTTGCGCTCTGAACTAAACCATCAACATGCTGCAGCAATTGATCAGCTCAGGCACAATCATCAGCAAGAAGTAGCAGCAGCTAAAATGGAACTTGAAAGAAGCATAGAACTCAGCAGGCTTCAGGTACATATACTCTATGCCCTAAAGTTTATTAACATATTTAAAACTATCGCACAAGTGTTTGATCTTTGATATAGTTTTTTGATCAAAAAGTAATCAAAAAACTGTTTGATCAAAAATTGATATATGGTATTTGAGTTATTTCTCAGTTAACACATTTGAATTGAATTATCATCTGTCCAGCATTTCTTTGGACATTTTCTGGTCTTTTAAGGTCCATTGACATCGAGCAAGGATTGACGTTCATCACTGTTGATCTAGTTGTTATATAATATAATACAGCCAGTTCATTGCCATTTAAATTTCATTGTGTTGCTTTCACATTTAATGTCCAGGTTTCATAACTATATATCATTATACACTAATTGTAAATTAGGACTAAGCATGTAACTATGTTGCTTTTGAATGAAGCATGAAATTGTACACATGTTGTAACCACATGCTACAACCAGACCAATCTAGTTGGGTCTATTCAGAATTTATCTTACACCATGAGCTCAATAGTAATTTTTTGACTGAAGTAATTTTAACCACTATTCTAAAGATAAGTAACAGACTTAAATGACAGCAGCAAATTGTTAAACTTGAAAATGAAGAAGTTTGGACAGAGATTGTTGGGGGCAATATGCTAACTCTGTAAACCACTTAGAGAGGACTATAAAGCAGCGGTCACCAACAGGTGGGCCGCAGAAGAAATGGCCCCCAAAAGCAATTAATCTGGGCTGTGCAGTTCTCGCGCCTCCCGGCTCTCCGAGGGACCTTGGAGTCAGGTCCCTGAGATGCATGTGCCAACCAGCTCCTACACCCAGCAGCGGTGGCAACAACAGTCCCCTCCCCCAGCTCCCGCTGTTAGCTCTCCCCATTAGTTCTCTAGCTTTGAATTGCTCCCGCCTCTTTCCTCCCCCTCCATGCCCACATGCAAGCAGGGAAGGAAAGGGAGACAGAGCCATGTGCAGTTCTCCACTCTCCCACCCCTCGCTGCCTCTCTCAACATCAAAGCCTTGGAGTCGCAAGTAAAGCCGCTGCAGCAGTAGTGTCCTGAGTTGCCTTAGCATGCTCGGTTAGTTTAGAATCGCCCTACCCAGAGAAGGAAGTGGTGCTGGAGGAGGAGGAAGCAGTAGTAGAGAAGCAAGCAACTCAGGGCGCTACCGCTGTGGCGGCTTTGCCTGTGTTTCCGAGACTTTGATGTTGGGAGAGGCAGCAAGGGCTGGAAAAGGGGAGAGCTGTGCACGGCTCTCTCTTTTCTTTCCGGCCTGCATGTGGGCGGGAGGGGAGGAAAGAGAGAGAGCCGGGAGCAATTCAAAGCTAGAAAACTAATGGGGAGAGCTGGCAGCAGGCGCTGGGGAAGGGGACTGTTGCCGCCGCCATGTGGGAGCATGCATCTCAGGGACTTGAGCTGGGAGGCACGGGAACTGGAAGTGGGAGCGTTTGATGATTTTAAAGAACTCCTGGAACACGGTAGATTGGCATTTTGTATGTCTCAGTGAAAGAGTGAGTTTTGTTTCACCTACTTTCCTCCCTGGGTAATGCGAGAGATGCTTTCTCTCTCTCTCTCTCTCCCCGCTCCCCCCCCCCCAAATAATCACTGGCTGTGGCTGGGTTTGGCAGCGAAGTGCTAAAGCGAGTGAAGTGCCCCCAGGGACACCTTTCCTTGTCTGTCTCCAGGTGAGGCTGGAAGACCCTCCCACAGCTTTTCCTCGGCTGCAGATCTGAGCCTCTCAATCCTCCACCCGGGATCTGAAAGGAGCTCCCACTTTCTCCCCCTCCCCTTCCCCAATTAATAAGGGCAGCAGTCCTTCTGCAGGCAGCCAAGGGGCACTACCCCGCAAGGAGAGCAAAGCCCCCTTTCTGCCTCTGCTCCTCCCAGTGGCAGTTGCCCCAGGCCCCTCAGCTCAGACACACACACACACACACACACACCGCCCGCTCTTCTGTCTCTTTCAAAGGTGCCAGGTGGGGGGAGGCTTCCAGCCCAGAACTTTTTATTTTGTTATCATTAAGCATTTACATTTTTGTTATAATTAAATAAGTGTGTATGTGTGTGTGTATCAAGTATGTATGTGTGTGTATATGTGTACATATATATGTATGTATGTATGTATGTGTATGTATGTGTGTGTGTGTGTGTGTGTGTGTGTGTGTGTGTATATATATATATATATATATATATAATTTACATTTAACATAATTATATTAAATATATTAGCTTTTAAAAAAAATGTGTTAGTGGTCCTCGGGATTTAAAAGTATGAGTTTTGTGGTCCCTGAGATCCAAAAGGTTGGCACTCCCTGCTATAAAGTCTTATGAAGTGGTATATAAGTCTAAGTGCTGTCTGTCTGTCTATCTATCTATCTATCTATCTATCTATCTATCTATCTATCTATCTATCTATCTATCTATCTAACTATCTATCTGCCTTCTTAACCAACCAACCAACCACCCATCCAAATCAAGAACCTGCATCTCCATTATGCTCTGCCAGTTTCCTTGTTTTATCAATCTACGATACCAATCCCATTATTCTATTAATTTATATTTCATTTTCCATTCAATCATTCCCTCTCTACCTACTCACATTCCATTCCCTCTCTTCAGCAATAAAAATTAAAACAGGATGTAGAGTAATTAAAGAGATAAGATAGTTGCATAAAGAAGAAAAGAAAAAGAGAGAGAGAAAAAGGATAAGATGACACAAGGGAAAAATAAACAGACAATGGGGGGGGGGGGAAAGAAGCTCTGTTTAAGCATTATGAGAGACTTAAATTGAACAAGCATCTCAAACACCGGCTAATTATTATGGCAATCTTTGAGATAATCCATCTCTTTCAGCAAGCCCACAGTAATTTACACTAGCACTTCCCAGAATGCTCTATATATTTTATACTAATGTCTATAGGCTTAAAGCCTGATTCTTTATGACTGAAATTTCACTTATAGGATGCTTCTACAAGAGAAGGGCTATAGGTGATTCCCCACCCCCACACTCCTTCTGTTTCCCTGAAAGAAATAGGGAGTGGCAGGAGAAATCTGTATTATTTGTTAGTTTTGGGAACCGCATGTGGCATTGTGGCAGTAAAAGTGTCTGCTAAGGAAAAAAGAACTTCAGTTAAATTAAGATACTTTATTTACAGAAGAACAAGTCTGGCTGTAAAGACCTTTTGTTGAAATATGTTTTGGTGCTAAATAAAGGTGAAGGCACAATAACAAAGATAATACAGTAATTATAGACACTACCAAACCTTCCAGACAAATAACTGAAAACCTGAACTGGAGATCAGTCTTTGTAGTGAAAAGAAGCAAGCACAATTCAGTCTTAAAACTCAATTGCAATCTCATAATTCTTATTCAGTATTCCATTTAACTTTATATTTGATTTTTCACAGATGAAGAGGAATAAAGAGAAGTCAAGAATCCCCTAACTTAAGGAAGATACATTATCATTTAAATCAAGAGTGTACAACCCATGGCCCACAGGCTGCAAATGGTTCTGGACAGCTAGAAAAGTAGTCCCACAAGATTGTAAACTTTTAACATTATTATGTGATGCATGTATATTAACTACATTATATATTTTATATGTGGCAATTCTTTTCTACTCAATGACAATTCTTTTCTACTCAATGTAACCCAGGCAAGCCAAAAGGTTGAACACCAATGATTTAAATATTCTGTTTTTAAATGCAATCTAACCTAATAAGGAAATAGAAATGTTTTAGTGAAAAAATTGAGTATGTTTTTTTTTGCAGAAATGAATATATGTACAACTATTACAAAGTATTCTTTGATTATTAATACTTATTAGGAGAAAGAATGTATGTGCCGAATATCAGATGTACAGGATGAACTGAGGCATCGAGACCATCATATATCAGAATTGGATAAGGAAATACTTACTTTACATGAAAACATAAGTGCATTAACTAAGGAATTGGAGTTCAAAGGGAAGGAAATTCTACGAATACGTAGTGAATCTAATCAGCAAATTAGGTATGAGTATTTCTGATGACAGGTAACAAGTTCTAATTAATTCAGTTCCTAAAGCTGATAAATAACCTTTTTTAAATTTTACATGGAATATTTTAGGTACTTAAATTCAAACTGCTGTTCTCATCAAAGTCTAATATCGATTAATGTAATAATGCATTTAGGCTGGGATTGCCTATCATATGGCATTGCACATTACTCTAGACATTAGCAACTGGAAAAAGCTATTTTGATCATTTAATCAGATTTTGTTTTGTTTTTATTATTAAAGCATTAAAGGAGATGAAAAAAATTATAAAGATAAGCTAGAGGTTGGAGAAATGGTAATACTTTTTCAATTATCAGTATCACTGTGCACAAAGCCTTTTCAAATACCAAGATTAATGAACCCAACTGACATAAGAATAACTGTTTTTAACATGAAATGAAACAGGCTACATGAACAAGATTTAAGCAAGAAACATGAGAAAGAGTTGGATGTCATGACAGCTGACAACATCAGAGAGAAACAAAGTATGCTGGCAGATTTTAATAAGACCCAAGAGCTGCTCAAGGAAATTAATTCAGCTTTGCAAGTTTCGTAAGTTTTACTACCTTGAACAATTTCATATACGGGCCAAGTTTGAATGGAATAATATATAACTATTATCTGTTTCCAATTGATACTGGAGAGGCATAGGCTTGTACATATAATTGAGAACCTTAGCATATCCGCTAACTTTGGCAACAAATTTCAACAAACATGCAGAATTGAAGCCATGGGAAAAAGTAAGACATCCAATTCATACTTCCACTTAACCCTTGTAATATATTAAGCAGTGGAGGATAATACAAATTAAAAGGACAACGGGCATTCTCATAAAATCAATCAGAGTTTAGGTCAGCTAGATGATGCAGGTCAAACAGTTCTACACACTCTTAGAAAATATTTGGAAACTTCAATTAGTTTCCAAAATGCAGCAGCCAACATGGTTTTGTACAAGCCTATATTTGCACATGTATTACTTCTCCTGTGGGAGCAGCATTGGCTGCTGATTTGCTTCTGGGTCCAATTCAAGGTGGTGTCACCTTCAAAAATCCTACATGGCTTGGGACCACATCTTTTCCCAGTCATATCTATTCAATCCACTAGAATGGAGAAGCAGGAAATGCTATAGGTCCCCTCTCCTAAGGAGGTCCATCTAACAGGATCAAGAAGGATCTTCTCCATGGTGGCTCCCTCCCTTTTCCCTGCAGAGGTAAGATTGACCCTCACTTTTAGAGACTTTCACAAGACCCTGAAGACATGGTTCTGCCAACTAGCCTGGGGACCCCAGACTGATAGGAAGCCAATTAAGTGGCTTATCTGATTGTTTTCATAGGGGGTGGGGAGAGTGGTATTGTTTTGATATTAAGATTTTATCCTTGTAAGCTACCCAGAATCACAGAACGAGTTGGGCAGTTATATTTTTTTAAAATAAATAAATACCACCATCCTTTCATTAGGACTGAACATCAGACTAAAAATGCTTGGTAAGCCTCTTATTTTATTTTTGTGCCTCTGGTTAAATTGATGCAATATTTTTAAAACTAATAACTCCCATATTACATAATGTTGTTTATATTAATGGTTTTAATTGTGTCTTCCCACAAACTTCTATGCCACCGTATGATCCTTATATTTCTGTTTCATGTTTCTTTTTGTAAAGTTAATTTCATTACACTGAAGCTATGTCTTCTAATTAGGTTTCCAGTTTACTTTCCCAATTATTAAGCACTGTCTTATCCTAAAATAGTCTATATTCTCATATCTTTTTGGATACTTTTATTATTGAAGAAAAATATAATGTCTTTGGGGAAAAATGCCAACTAAGGGCCTTTTAAAATTCTCAAGTGTTATAGTTACTGACTAATAATTATTGGATATCTTTAGTGAAAGGACATAATAGATTGTAAACTCTTGCCCAGCTCTTATTCATCTGAGTCTGAAGCTTAGAGATTAATATACAAGCAAACTTAAATAGATGTTTGTTTAGCTATGCTTCCTTTAAAATGGTAAGATTCCATTTGTAATGAAATTTAAACTGACAAACTGCCCGAAATAATACTTTTTTCTATTTAAGTTTTTCTTCTTGTAATAAAGAAGCATAGAGCTTTCTGTAAGTCAGAATAGTCTAAACCAGCAGTCCCCAACCTTTCTAGTTCTGCAGACTGGTAGCAGCAGCAGCAGAGGTGAGGGGATGGTTTTCTGCATGTGCCTGTTGCTTGTGCAAATGGAGTTTCGTGCATTCGCACACTTGCTTGCCGCTTGCACATCCCAAGGTTTGGGGAACCTGGTCTAAACTGCCTCTTCAAGAGAGGATAGAAGATTTTCTTCAATATAATAATATTTATCATAAAATATAATGAAATCAAAATTAGTTTTACTACATAATAACCCAATGTTAAAGCAGTAACTTTGGAGGCATGACCACCAATAAAAGCTACAGATTTTAATTAAATATAAAAGCATTTCATAAAAGTTTTTAAACTTTCCAAATATAGTCTGTTTGTATTTAGGGAATAAAAGAGTTCCATTACTGTATGAGCCTGGCTGATAGAAAATATGCTAGGTAGTAGTGAACCTAAGATGTTCTAGGATTAATCTTGAGGGGATTACGAATGCTGACAATCTTCAGAAAACCTGAATGAAGTTATGAAGGACTTTTAAAACCAAAGCAGAATTTCAAATTATGTATAGTAAGAAAAAGGCAATTGGTATGTTTAATATATATTTAGCATAATACAATCTGAACATCTCTTGCATGTTCTGCATCAACTGGGATTCATAAATTGACACTAATTGAGCCAGGTACTGTATTATAAACCATCTTTCCATTGGGCCACAGAGCAAGTTGGCAAAAGGTCTTCTGCATCTATTAAGTCATTTGAGAGGGCAAAATTCAGCTTTCAGAATATATTCCCTATTCATTTATATGGCTGCCCATCTTTCAACGAACTCCGGACAGTTATCAATTAAAAATTAAAAGACATATAAAATCATTTTAAAACTATAAAATTCAGCCAATTAAAACATAAAAAGCAAAAACTTGATGCCAATCAGTTCTAATATGTGTCCCAACACTTGGGGGTGGGGGAGCCAGATCTTCATATATACCATATTTTTTGCACTATAAGACACTCCAGACCATAAAATGCACCTAGCATTTGGGGAGGAAAACTGGGGGGGGGGGGGAATCTGCCTCTGCTTCCCAGCAATTTGCCTCCTTGCAGCAAACAGCAAATAGCCTGGTCAGCTTCAGCACAGACTGATTTAGCAGGAGAAGCCGATTGGCAGTTGGATCAGCCTCCTTGAATACCACCAATCAGCTGTTCCAGCTGCAGGGATCACCACCACCCATCGCCTGGAACAGGCCGAAAACAGGATGCACAGAGGCCGAAAACAGGGTGTGTGGAGGCTGAAAATGGGGCACGCGGCAGTGGCCGCCAATCAGCTGCTCATGCTAAATCAGGCTGTTTGCTGTAAGGAGACAAATTGCTGGGAGGCAGAGGCTGAAGAGTGGGGGCTGGCAGGTGGGGCTTTGCCAACATTCCCTCTATAAGAAGCACAGACACTTCCAGCCACTTTTTTGAGGGGGAAGTGTGTCTTATAGTGTGAAAAATATGGCATATGAAACCCCATCAGAAAACTGGTTCTTCAATTGCATCCAGATCAACACACCTAATAATCCATATGAATCCATCATATCAGCTTATAGCTTCAGTTTGTTCAATGTTTACTTGTAGTCTATTAAAATCCATATAAAAGTCCAAAACCAGATAGCAACCTGAAAGGTTAATTCAAAAGTTATTAACCTTTCTACAAATTCAAGGCTCTGTTTTTTTGGCCTTTCAGTATTTTTCTGTAAATTAATTTATTTCCACTCACTCCTTTAATGCTTCTTCACTGTCTTTTTAGAACTTTTTGCAATTTTCTTAATTTCTGTTTTCATTCTGTGGTGTTTTGAGTGCTTATACTAACTTGTTTTTTTTAGTTGTTAGCATATACTTTCACACTCATTAGTTGATTCATTATAATTTTATTATTGAGGTTATGTTTTAACTGTAAATTATGACAGTATTTTCTTTAGCATAACCAATAAAAAGATGTTTATAGGTATGAATCTATATCTCTTTTTATATATAATAAATTTATTTATTGAATGAATCTGATAATATGGATTTACAGTATTATCTTTTAACTTCGACTCATTACTAATGCATTGGTGATACTTTTGTCTTCTATAAAGTTTAGAAGAAATGGAAGATAAATATCAAAACAGGGAACCAAGGCCAGAAGACCTGCAGCTTATTGCAGAGCTGAAAGACCTGATTGCTGAGAGGGATCAGCTGATAAAGAAGTTGATTGTAAGATAATTTGGTGGCCTTTGTTTTGAGCATGTGAGATGCTAGTAATTTTTTGTCAAAAATTCCAAACACCTATTACATGTGAAAGACAACAGTCTAAATGAAAGTGACTTTTAGTTTTAATCTCATTTATCTAAGCTGCACACACAATTTCATATCTCTTTTTGTACTCTTAAACAGTTGTTCATAATTTAGTCTCTAAAATAATTTAATTCTATTTAATCTCTCTCTCTCCTGTTTAGAACAAATATGTACTGGAATGTTACCTATAAAATTGTATCTTTTGTACTCTAAATCAAATGCTAGATAAATTTTAAAACATTCGGGGTATCTTTTTCTTCTGGTTGGCATCTATATAAACAATATATATTTTAATGTTTTCTAGTAAGTTTGTTCTGAATTTTGCTGATAAGAAATTTGCTAATATGAACCATTTGCTGCTTCCTGTATCATAATAGGGGAGAGCAAAAATTTGTCTTTGAACTCAATGCAAAATGAGAATGTTAATGCTGCTATAGAGAAGGATTATAGGAATGCCACAAATGATAACATAAATGGAACAAATGTTGCCAATCTTAGTTCAGTTTCAACAGTTTCATATTTGAAGTGAAGATTTTTTATTTTGAACAAAGTTTGGTCATACTAGCTAAATAATCAGAACTGAATATATTGAAAACAACATGAACATATTCTTTTCTTTATTAGGATGACAAAAAATTCTATCAACTGGAACTAGTCAATAGGGAGACTAACTTCAACAAAGTGTTTAATGCAAGTCCTAATGTTGGTGTTATTAATCCTCTAGTAAAGGTATGGAACATAATTATTACCTTAAAAGTTGAGAATGTTGGTTGGTAATATTACAAATAACTGAAGTCCATTAACAAACATTAGGCAACAACACAGGTTGGGAATAGGCAAGGTTTTCACAATATGGTCAAATTTTCTTAGTGAAAAATATAAGTTCCTATGTGATTTTATACAGTAGAACTGTGGCTGTTAGGGGATTTTTGGATGTGTTTAATTTAGAGTAATAGGTTTTAAACAGGATATATAAGTGTGTTTGTATAGTATATTTATTTAACATAGGATATCTTTTTTTAAAAAAGCAACATTTCCTTAGAAACTCAAACCCTGGTGACTTCCTGCCATCCTTTAATTCTCTTAGCAATTACAGAGATTATTTCATGCTGCTATTTTTTTACTTCCTGACCTCCTCTATAAGCTGTTGATAAGCCATCCAAGTAACTGATTTATTTTGGGCTTGTTTACATTTGAGGTGGTTCCATCACCTACGTGGGTACTGTATTTTAGAATAGTTTTATATTTTATTTCTCAGAAACCATTTGTTCCTGACAATTTTCTCAAACTGCATTGCTCATTATACCCATGTTTGCAACTGCACTTTGATTGCTAACATCCTTTTCCAAAATCAAATTTTGATGTTTATTTGGTTTAACATTTACTAACACTGTAGTTAATTAGATAGAAAAACTTAATAAAAAGATTGCTTCTCTTCCGTCTTCTGGAGCTTGTTATAAAAAGTCTCTTTGTTATGAAATTCTTGTTACATGGTAGCAATTCTGAATTCAGACTATTATCTTATTTGCAGTTATGTCTCTTAAGTCCTTTGCATATTAGCATTCCAGTACTGTGGAATGTATTTTCTTTAGTAAATTGTTATAAAAGAACCAAATGCCTCTCCCAGAAGAAAAAGCAATGGAATCCATGTTAGTCCAAAGGAAATAAACTCAAAATCCACAGTTGAAGAATACCATTATTGAACTGACTATGAAGTATGGAAATCATGGGCTATATTCTGTTTTGGTACATAAAGTAACTAATATTCAATGTTAGAAAATATGAATAATTATTGCTAAAATAATTCAAGATTTTGCTATATAATACATTTTCTAAAAAAAAAATTGTGCCATCAAGTGAAATAATTATATTTTTATACTTCCTAATATGATGCTGAGTTAGTAACAGACCACATTGCTTTCCTTTTTCTACAATTGTCATCTTTTTTTAATTTACGTTTATAGAGGATTGCAACGATTGTTATTTCCAGTTGATGTTCTCATAGCACTGGCTGTAAGGCAGAAAGTGAACATCTCTTTAGAATCTCGTACTTGAATTAGGTGTATTCTGTCTTCCTGTAATGGAACTCTTTATCATTATTACATACATGTGATTAATTTTTATTACGTGAGATATGAACACAAGTTTTGATTTGAAGCCTGTTTATTTTTTTCTATACTCAAATATAAACTTACTTCTTGACTTTTTAATTTTTTTGTCAGTTTTGGCACTGGAAATACCTTTACATCCTCTATGTAACTTAATTATATTTTTCAAACCATCTTTTCTAGACATTTGAACAATTCTTTTGATTCAAAAAGAGAAGGAAAACAAGCAGTTGAAACGGGTGTGTACCCTATTTAAAATAATTAAATGGGTCTGCTCTTGAATTATTGTAGAATGAGTCTATTCCAATATACATTTCAAATGTAACAAAAAAAGGAAAAGTAAGTAAGTAGGAGTAGTGTAAGGATTGTAGCATTAAAACTGGATCCTCTGTGTTTATTATTCAAATGTAATATCTGCTAGGTTTAATATTTGTCTTCTGTTTTAGAAGTAAAGTTTGAGCAGAGAGGAGGGCTGATACAAAATGTGTTTGCAATCAGAAATGCATAGCTGACTATGGGGGGGGGGAAATCCTCTCTGCGTTATCCCTTACTCAATAGTATGTTTTCCCCCAACACCTCACTGAAAAAAAATACAGTATTCATGTTCTTTTAACAGATTTTTTTTGTCTTTTTATGCTATGAGAGATGTATTTAAAGTAAAAAACCACAGGTTGATTGCAAATGATTACAAATGAAATAGTATCATTTACACTGCTACAATATTATGTAAATGAGGCAGGGTAATTGTACAGTGAAAGCAGTAGCCTGACAAGGTGTAAAAGCCATCAGTCAAATAATTGCAATCTGGTATTTTCTGCACTGTACTCCTATGTTTTGTTAATTAATAACCTTTTATTTCACAATAAAATACTATCAAACTAGAGAAGATAATAAAGCACTGTTGCAGTGTTTCAGATTTGTTTTGTTTATTAGTAATTTGCTTTTAGTAGGTTTTTCTCACTCTGCTTCTAACAGGAAGATGGTTTGCTTAGTTAACTCCTTCTGTTGTCACTGTAATTCTGAGGGGAAAATATATTACCAAATTCCTTTCATTGACATGGTTGGGGGGTTTTAATATAGCAGAATATTATTTTTTTTATAAAACCATGAAAGAAAAGCAATAGATAAAGTGAGATTATGAATGACTTTAAAGAATTTAAAAATATTTGTGTCAACTTGAATCAACAGTAAACAGTTACCAGGATCTTCAAATTAAAATGCTATCTCCAGTGCAGGATCATTTTGATTGTAAACAGGGAGCTGTGCCCTGGAGAACTGTATTACTAACTAAAATAGTGTTATACGTTTAGTTTGTGAGAAATCTTTCAGGTAAAATTAAGTGTTGTTTTGCAAGGTGATATGGCTTCTGTGTAGAAGCAACCTAAAACTGAAAAAGTAAGAGATCTTCAGCTAAAACTATTTAATTGGGGAGAAATCATTCCATTTAAACTAAACCAAAATGAAAGAAATTAGACTGCATTATTATCTACTCAAAATAAGAATTCTTAAAACATTTTATAACAGACTTTAAAAAGAGGTAATATCAATTAGTGCCAAAAAATTACTTGTTATATAAAATTCTTAGTAGACTATAGAAATCAAATAAATAAATCATATTAATAAAAGATAACACTGAATTGTTTTCTGATATGGAAAAACTTTTAAACTGAGCTTAACATCACAATCTCCATTATATTATTATAAACACTAAAAAAGAAAAAAAAACTGTTAAATAGTATAGATAAGTATTTAATTTCTGACTCCCCCCTTCTTGGTGCAGCAACTGAGGTACAGTATTTTAATATAAACTTTACAATCCATCCTGTGTTTGCATTACTTTACTGTGGATACTATACCTGAAAGTATATATGAAGTTGTTTTGTTAAACATTCTTTGTTTAGTTAAATCTATTATGTGTATAAATAGGCCCTACTTCTTTTAATAAGAATTAAATAGTTTTTTGCCAGAGTAATTGAGGTTAGGTCCTTGCTTGACCCTAATCTTGATATAAACATTTACTGGCATCTTGACAGCTGGCTAAATCAGCTATTTTAAACATCTGTGCAAACTCACCATACCCATGTTAGGGATGGTGATTGGTTTTTATTTTCCAATTAACAGGTGATGTTTGATAAGAGAGAAAACAAAAAATAGAGAAATTCAGTAATCCCTTGGGCCAATCCTTATCTTGACCCACAGTAATTAAGGAGATTTACAAGTCAGGTTACTATAACAAAATAGGAATTGTCCGTGGATTCAATATTGTCTGCTGAAATATGTCTCTGTCAACTCAAATATATGTAGTGCTTTTATTTTACAATTTATTATCTATTTTTATTCAAATTATAATTTTAGTATTTTAAAAAATCTTAAATGCCATCTAGAGCAGCGGTCGCCAACTAGTGGGCCACGGCACACTGTTTCTGTGCAGCCTGGATTAATTGCTTTGGGGGGGGGGCTGTGGGGGTGGCATTTTTCTACGGCCCACCAAAATTTTCTCATGGCGAACCAGTGGGCCATTGCACACTGGTTGGCCATGAGAAAATTTTGGTGGGCCATAGAAAAATGTCACCCCCACAGCTCCCCCCCAAAGCAATTAATCCAGGCTGCGTAGAAACACAAGGCTGCGCCACCCACATGGCCCCACCCATTTACTCCTTACCTGGCAAACTTGCCTGCTAAGTTGCTATTTTTCCTTTTTCCAACCATCAGCTGTTCTGCTGTGCCGGAAAATTTAGATTAGCTAGGAAGCAGGAAATGGTTGCATTTCTTGCTTACTAGCTAGTCTTTAAATCTTCAGCTCTGCTTTCCTTAGGACTGAAGGATCTATTTTTCAGTACAGACTCATGGGAAGCAAATGTTATGTGACAGACTGAGCTAGCTGATGCAGATAGATAGATCACTGAATGATTCTGTGAGCAACTCAATCTGCCTGTCTGCTTTGCCTGATTTTGGGTAAAAGATGCTCTTTTTTATAAAAAAATCAATATTTATATAAATATAATATTTACATACAAGCCATGCCCAGCCAGTCACATGACCACCAAGCCATACCCACAAATTAGGCCATGCTCACAGAACTGGTTAGTGGTCCCTAGGATTTAAAATTATGAGTTTGGTGGTCCCTGAGGTCCAAAAGGTTGGCGATCCCTGATCTAGAGAACTTTGGCTATTGTGTCATTTAATTTTTTTAATTAATTAAAAGTATCTTAGCTGAATGATGAAGAAAATCATTAGTGCTTTCTGGGCTGCTTACAATATATTAACTGTTTATCGTGACTTGCTGTTAATTGATAAATTGGTTTTCCCATCTGTTTGAAGTTGAAGAATATAAAAAATGAATTAGTTGTACCTGGTAGACCATAATTAAGTTTCAAATTATTCTGATTCTGAATCATTACCTTCAGCAAAGTAACAAAGAACAGATATACTTGTATGATATTGAAAATAGGGAGCAGATTTTTCTGTGAAAATCTGAAGGTTATGGTATTAAAACCCTTAATCCAATCAAAAGATTTGTAACTTTTCAACTATTTTATAGAATAGTTCATTTAAGTGGGATATTGTGTGGCTATTGGAAGCATTTTATTCAACTCTTCAACAATTTTTACTCAACTGGCAGAATATAACAATTTGGTACCAATCTGGCAACATCTGCTATATTCTCTAATCAGTTAAAGCCAGAAAAATAAAATAAATTGAAATTAAATATTTTTGTTGCAAGTTCTTTTTTTCCCTGAGAAATGAAATGTACTGGGCCAAAGTTTGCTTATAATCCTAATTATTGATTTGTTTTTTTTTAATTTGTCACTTCCTCTTAAAATACATTGAAGCAGGTTTTAATTCATTTAATGGCAATCAGGAGCCATGATTATATTAGGAAATGATTGCAAATAGAAAGTAAAATCAGTTTTTCTGATACACTTAAAACTTTCCAATTTTTTGGTTGGGAGATTCGGAATTATAACAACACAGTGTTAGTTTTAACAGAAAGGTAGTTTCCACTGTTCTTCGGAAATTGGAGTTAAATAAGCTAAATCTACTAAAATTACTGAAAAGTCAAGCATTGTACTGCAGCAATCCCCAAGCCATTAATAAAGCATAATTTAAAACATCTCAGTAATTTCCTGATTTGTATACTCCCTTCCCTACATGTGTTATTTTTAATGCAGCAAAAGAAGAAGAATGATAGATCAGCAAACAGGTTTGTGAGTGTCCCCAATCTAAGTGCTTTGGAATCTAGTGGAGTGGGCAATGGACATGCTAACCGCCTGGACCCTATTCCTAATTCATCCATCCACGATATTGAGTTCAACAGCAGCAGACCACTTCCACAACCAATACCACCCAAAGAGCCCAAGATGGTTTTGAGGTGAGCAGAGTCTCACCAGTTTTTGATTTTCTTTTTTCCTAACTTGGAAAACAAAAATTGATTTCTTTTTAGTTGACACCCCTTCCATTTAGTTTAAGAATACTGGAGTATGGTTATTGTTTTAGAATCATAATTTTCCCACTCTATTTTAAACCTCTTTATAGTATCCCTTTTTATTGTAAAGCTTGTTGAAATATGATTCCCCCAATAAGTCTTCTTTCCCTTAAAATTTCAAAGTGTTATATTATTACCAATGCATTGTGTGCTTTCAGTTATTTACCTTTATGAACAGTTGTGTTAAATGTTTGTTATTTCTACCTGCCCTTTGAGAATGTTACAATCCCCCAAATCAAAATGGTATTTTGTAACAGTGCTTCTAACAAAATATTTACCATATTAGATTTGTATCAATTTTCCTCACCACAGAAAAAATATTTTTCGAAAACAAGCTTTGAGTTTATGTGAATATAGTATGTGCATGTATTACATACCGTTTAATGCTATGCTTCAGCATTAAAATATCAAGCTCCACTTTGCATTACAATTGGAATGTTTTATTATCTAACTGAAATATTATATAATGCTTGATATCCTGGAAAAGTAAATGTTTCTTTATTCTAATTTAATTCTGCTTTAATGCAATTTACAAAGTTGGGGCAGAAAATAGAATAGGAAGTTTTCACTATAATAACATTTTATTTCTTAACTTGAAATAGGAATCCCATAAAATGTAATCTTCCTTATTTTCCCTTTGCATGTTAAATGCATGTATGCTCAGACGCCATTAACAAGCATGTGCATGAATTCATGAATTGTGATGATGGAATTTCCTTACAAATTATTGTGTTCCCTGATTTGTCCTATAAACGGTAGGGAATATTTTAACATTCTAGCTATAAATTTTAATTATACTAAAGCAATAAAGTATATGTAGTGATTATATCATACAGGTTTACTTGATAATTGTGAGTAAAAAAAAGGCTTGCTTTGTACTGAATCCCTTGTGCTATTGTATCTGATTCTGTATGCATGCAGTTTCAATAATTTACTCTTAAGTGTGTCATATTTAAAGTATGTAATTGTTCAGTGCCAGATAATTCAGCATGTCCTAAAGAATATGATGTTTGCATCATATTTGACAACTAACTTGATCAGAAGAAAAGGATGCTAAAAGAGGATGCTCTTTAAAAACAAATTTTCCCTTGCTTTTTTTTTTGACAAAAGCAGCAACTCCAATTTTTTTTCCAAAACACTATTTTTCTACCCTGTTGTGTGACTTAGTGACTTGTCTATGCTGCTGATGCTCTCCAATGGAGTGGATGACCGAAAGTTGAAAATGGGGAATTAAACTACCTCACAGACTAATGTGACTTTGAAATTATAAAAACTGATTCTGTGCTATTTTTGTATGCTTTTTCCAGGCAATTTGCACCTTGACTCTTGGTTGTGGGTTAAATCTTTCTTTTCTTTTTATGAATCTAGCCCTCCTCAGACTGAAGCTTCCCCAATGGCTTCACCAGATCCTCAACGTCAGGAATGGTTTGCTCGTTACTTCACATTCTGAAAGATTATTTTGAATGGCACAGCATGGTGTGGACTGTACTGTTCATAATAGCATGATCTTAAAATAAACCCTTATGTGAAACAAGCTTTCTTGTAATATGTCAAACACTGTGAATGAGAACGTATTTGTCTCTCTGATTTGAAAATGCACTCTATTTTATGTGATACTTGTTGGAATCACTTGACAGTTATATAAATGTGCTTAATGACACTTATTTTTATTTAAAATTGAAAACTATTTAAACTTTGTAATTACTGCATAATAAAATTTCATAGAAGAAATGCAATCTTTCCTCCACTTTTCCTATAAATATGTATATTCTTTATTTTCAGGGAAGGTTTTCACATCCCATTTCTCTCTCAAATGCAATTAATTGCATGGTTATTATATATTAAAATAAATTCTTAATTTAAAAATCAGACAATGGCAAAATATGTTTAAATCCATATATTTTTAATTAACTTAGAGAACTAACTTTAAAAATTGTGGTTTATTCTAAAAGTGAGGAAGACTGCTAAATTATAATAATATATAAAGCTAGGTGGTGATAAGATTATAGTAAGAAAAATTACGGATATTTTAATGTTGAAATTCATCACCTTTTGTCATAAATATTTTATAAATACATGCAGAAGCAATGCTCTTTAGACATTTAGCATTTGGGGTTACTACATTAGGTAATGCTGTTAATTAATAAAGTGAAATTTATGGAAAGCTGCATTTTGAGGATATTATCCTTTTGGAAAAACTCAGGCATTAATGAAAAAATAGTGCTAAACAAAATAATTATGCATAATAAAGCATGCAAATCTTTCATCCGAGTTCCAGCATAAATATTAACATTTTTCTCTTCCATTTCAAAATTAAGCCATGACCATGTAACCTTTTTCATCTGGAGAATGAGCCTGATTTTCCACTCTATTACACCGTCTTATAATTGTGCAGGTTTTCTGAGAGAAAAGATGTAATATACTGGCAAATCTGGTTTTTATATATTTTGTTGATACTGTTGCTGTTATTTCCAAGATTACCACAATAAAACTAACACTGGTAATCTCAGGGAGAAACTTTTCTTTGTTTTATGAATGTACTTTTAAGATCTGATCTTTGTATGCATAAAGGGGGATTAGGAAAATTGCATGGTTATTTTAAAAACAGTTTTTATTCTTAGATACAAAAATATAGCTCTCCATTATTTCTGCTAAAGCCTGACTGCGTCTTCCCATTATGCAACAGCATAATCAACCAATGGTACCACCAATAATATAGTGAATTTTATATGTAGCATATGTACAAAAAATTTCTATGTTTTCATATAAAATGTCCTAATCAGACTTTTCAAATTGTATCTCCTGTAAACTCATATTGAATGCTTCACTGGAAGCAATGTTCTAATGCTTTCCTGCTAATCTAAAGCAGCATTTGACAGATATTCTATGGTCTGTGTAAAGATATATACAGCCTTTACATTAGAAGAAAGCCATATTAAGTTAAAGTTGGATTTCTTGGCTGTTACCTATAATAAAATATACTGGATAATTTTGCAATGATGATCCAAAATACTATTGTGTTATGTTTTTCTTATTTAAAGTTGTATGATTTGTTTACCTTAATAACAAAAGATTGAGTGGAGGGCACCAGAATACTGTAGTTAACATGTTGAGTTAGAACTACTGGTAGGCAATCCCAAACTGAAGTCGATCAACAACCATGGAAACTCATTTGGTGACTTTTATCCAGTTGCCTTCTCTAAGCCCAGCTGACCTTATATGGTTGTTGTGGGAAGAAAATGGAGGATACTGTATATATCATCTTAGGCTCTTAAGGAAAGGTGGGATAGAAGTCAAATGTTAAACATCAAAACTGTAATAATATTTTAGTGTTCTTGTTTACATATTTTTCCTTTTTCTAGTATAATATCAATGAAATCAACTTATCTTCTATACTGAAAATATGAAAGAAGACATTCATTTGCATATTTTACTCTGACGCAGCAATTTACAGAAGCTGTTTTATCACAAAACACAAGTCATTTCCCCATACCAAACTAACCCTCAAAATAGTATAATCCAATCTGTAAATGCATAGAAGCTTGCTTACATATTATATATCAAAACTATGGAAAACATTCAAAAGAACTTTGCAAAGCAAATTGCTACAAGTAAAGCTCTTCTCCACAATATATTAAAAAGTCACATCCTTTGGAAAGTTTGCATGGCTACTGCAATTTCCAGGGTGTACAGACAACTTTTAAACTCTGATAGTACCAAAGTAACTGTATATGGCTCAGGCAATGGGAGACAGCCTTCAAAGCAGTTTTACAAGCTTTCCCAAGGTACAGTTGCTTTAATATCTCAAGGTGAGTGCATCACCATGCCAACACACTTTGCAAGGCACCTTTTTCAAGATTTCACAAATCCTATTTTGTAGGAAGCTGAAAGTGAGCTTTTAAAAGACCAGTCATTTCAATATATGGCAAATACATACTGTAGATGAACTACTCTCCTTGCAGTCTAAGTCATTTTTTCCGTAAAAAATTCAGTTTCCGGTTAACCTTGAATGATACAATTTATTTTCATTAACTTCTAATGTTCAACCTATATATGTAAAAAGTTATTCTGTACATAGCAATCTGCTAATACTGTGGTCTCTAATATGGCAACTTGGAATGCTAGTGCTCTTGCTATGCAACAAGTTCTATGCTGCCTTTTATAATTTTCTAAATTTAAAAAAAATGGGTGATGCTGCAAAATGAAGTATTTATCTCCACTGTTTTAATTCCTGGAAGCACCTCTAGTTATTCTAGTAGTTTATAACAGCAGCTTAATTTAATGCATAGGTGTTAAGTGTATTAAATGTCAGGTATTTTGAAGCCACACATAATACCATAGTATCTTCAAGGCAATATACATTTTGTGGCATCGTGTCACTTTCTAAAACATATTTAAAAGCATACTTGACTTATGACAACGTATCATGGGCTTCATTACTATACCCTTAGCTTCATTTCTACAAATGTAAACATTGGTAGATTGAGAAATCTATTTTACTTGTATTTCCTTTTTACTTTGCAAACTTTTTAAGACATGAAAGGAATCTCACACTATCAAACTGATAATTTATCAGGTTACTGTATTTTACCTGCTCCTTTCCTTGTTATCGGTTTGTCTGTTATCTTTCCTTCCTCTTATTGGAGGAATGGTATTGCTGTGTTTTATTATTCAAGCACCCTATTTCACTTACAACATTTGGCAAAGATTGTTCTATAGTGCTTCTGACCTTAAAGCTATCACATTTAAAAGAAAAATGCTAGTTTCAAAGTTTCCCTTGAAAATCCAGCCATTTTGACTGTCAAAGCTAGAATGCTCAAACCATTCCTATACCTGGGATCTACGCCAATATTTCTTCTACATATTTCTTACTGTACAATTGCCCTACTTGACATTTTCCAGTGGGATGAGATGATGTCATTTTTGGTTTGTAATCATTGGCTTTTAAATGATAATACAACTGTAATGGAAAAACCTGTTAGAAATAGAAAACAACTGGAAGTTTTTACCAGAAGGATAATTATAGGACAATAGACTTATCCAGAAGTTTTCTACTACCAGCACTACCACCATTCAATGGTATAGAAAAGATTTGTTTGTTCATGCAGTCATCCAGTCCCTTCCATATAAGCCTATAACTCAGACTGACATAACTTCCCATGAGGAAATGCTGGTTACTGATTCCCATTAAGAAATGTTGGTTATATCCTGCAGTAATTATTCTACTATGCTGACTTTTCTTAATAAAAAAATGCAGTTTTTAAGTGTGCAATCCTGTAATGCATCTTATAAACTAAAGCAAGCAAAGTATATACAGCAGTGTAAAAACGAGACAATTCCCCAGACATTGAAAAATGTTCAGCTGTAGGGCCGCATGTGTGTTTAACTGATACGAACTCAGTAGGAACCCTAAAGACAGTTGATATAAAAAAGCAAAACGGTGGGACTTGAGGTTCATTGCTCGTACTTCCAAAACGGGATCCAAGTCTTAACCTTCCGGAGGACTCCCTAGCCCGCTTCATTTCGCTTTTTTCTCCCCTTGTGTCTAAATCGATCCGACGACAAAGCTCTCTTCGCACTACAGTACTTTTTTATATGTGTGCCTTCTAATCTAGACAGAGATTCCTAGCAAGTTTTCTTGGCGAGATTTCAGAAGTGGCTTTGTCCTTCCTGCTTTTTCCTAGTGCTGAAAAATGACCGACTCAAGACAGGACGAGACCTCCCGGTTTCTACCCTGATACCTTAACCCCTACATCGAATTTTACTGTTCAAAAATAATATACATAAGGAACAGGTGGGGAGGATAGAAACGACCACCGATAATTCTGCTTTTTTCTTTCCGGTCTACAAGAGAAACAGCGCTCTGCTTCCGCCCCCCGCCCCCACGGCGGGAAAACTCCATGGCTTCCCATTGCCTAACTGGAGGATGGCTTCAATTCCCACTCTCTAATTTTAAAGTTCAATACTGCAGCCCTCCTGACACCTATACACGGAGAAGCAGTTTATTACAACCCAATCAAAGAAGTGAACTACGGAGAACAGAGCCGGCGAGCCTGGCGGTTTTCCTTCGAAGGGCTTCATTTACTCAATAAGGCTTGGCCACCGATAATCGTCGCGCCCCGCAACCCTCGCGCGCCCAGGCGCAAGCAGTCCGAAAAGGAAAGACACCCGCCCTTTCCCCGTCTGTCATCCAGCACCGAAGCCGGAGGAGAGGAGTCAATCTTCGCCGGTCCCGCCTCCTCCTCCTCCTCCTCCTCCTGCCGGCTGGTTCCTGCCGCTTCTTTTTTGCCGCCAGACCGGTAAAAGGTTTTTCCCGCCAGCTCCAAGCTTCGTCATACGGATGGTAAGTCGCGTGGCGTGAGAGGGAAGCGTCCCGCCCCGGGGAGTTCGCGCTGCTCCACTTTTGCAGCGCGGCTCCGAATTTCTCCTTCGCCGAAGCGGATTAACCCGCTGGCGTGAAACCTGAGGGCCAAACTTCTTCTGCTTCTTAATTGAGCCGCTCGGATTTTGCCCGCCCCTTCTTCAGCCCCGCCCTCATTACTTCTGATTCTCTTAATGGATATACCCTGCAATAGCACTTAGGCTTATATATTGCTTCACCGTGCTTTTACAGCCCTCTCTGGGCGGTTTGCAGAGTCAGCATATTGCCCCAAAAATCTGGGTCCTCATTTGACCGACCCCTTGGAAGGATGCGGTGGGGAAGAGGTGTCTTTGAGCTCAATTAGAGCGGAAAGACGCTCCACTTGCGCCAAATGCAGCCTTGGAACACACACACACACACACACACACCCCTACACATGCAGAGACAAACCACACTCACCTGAACCTGGAGAGGAGCAAAAATCTTTTGAGATATGATGCTGCCCTGCCTTTTCGAAATGTTTAGATCAAATTCTTATTTATTTAGTTGTTCCATACTTTACTGCAATTCAGGACTACTCTCAGAATTATTGATTTTTTTTTACCAGTTTAGTAAATCTCCTTTCCTGGATTTTCTGAAAAATACCTGTTTTCTCTATTTGATTTTAAATATGTATGCATAATACCAGTAGCTGGTTAGATCGATAATTAGAAAGCACTAAAATGAATACATTTAATAATAAAACAAAACGTTGCAAGTTGATAATCCAATAATTGAAATGAAAATGAAAAGGGAGACAACAGGGAGCAGAGATAAACAAAAATTGGGTCTGAACTTGCAGTTAATCTAACAATCTGTTTTTCTGCCTCTGTTGGCCAGATGGTTGTGGAAGGCTTGATACAATAATTAATATGGCTTCTATAGCTACCTAATGCTCACAAGAATGCTCAGGAATCCTTTCATGAAGATCCGATTGAAATCACACCAAAAACAACAGTTGGAACTATCCTGTATTTGCCCGATTCTAGAGGAGTAAGAGGCAATTTGCTGTTCATTGTTTCACATATGTTTATATGTCTGCAAATTAGGAATTTTGATATTTTTTTCTGTTTCGATATTTTTTTCTGTTAACAAGAAATGTTTTCTTCCTGCTCTGTGGAGTTACTGCTCTGCTGTACTGTGTCTTATGAAACTGTTCAACGCTTTAAAAACCAGAAGTGTAAAAAAGACCTTTCAAAACTGAAGCTCTTCAGTTTCTAGAGTTCTCTTATAGAATCACATCGTTTCACAGAATTTTACAGGAGATGCAGCTATTAATTCATAGTTCCCCCAATTCTGTTATTTCTCTTATAAAGCAAAAACTCATCAAGAAGGTTAAGCTATAAGACTTGGTTACCATCAAGAACCACTCATCTGGAAACACCCTTTTTAAATTATTATATATATTATATTATATTATATTATATTATATTATATTATATTATATTATATTATATTATATTATATATTGATTATTATATATACACAGCGTATGGACATAAATAATATCACTGAAATGTCAGGAGACATTAAAAAGGTTTTATCCAAGAAAGGAAGCAAAACAGAGAGCAAGGATTCAGAGGAAGAGCTGAAATATAATTATGAAGCAA